TCTGGAGAGAGCCTCGAAACCACAGCGATGACTGCTACTTTTGTTTGTGTTATGTGCAGGGGTATAGTACCAAAAATAAAAAACAAATTTTTTATCCAAACATGGAATCGACACTCCACCCAGTCCCTCACGGACCTGGCATTCCTGCACCACAAGCACCCCAAAGTCTAGATGATTTACCATCATTAGAAAGTGAATCAAAAGAAAGTTCTTGTGACGAGTTTCAGTTAGGCGACTACAGTAGTCCTCAATATTTTTCTCAAGATGAATTAAATGACCTGATCCGAGATTAAGGACTCTCAAAACAATCTGCTATTCAAAACATATCTGCAAAATAAATATTTTGAGCCCTTATTTTCCTCAATATGGTGAGATGGTCTATTGTTCCGATAACAATGGGTTAATATCCATGTTCAAAGTTCAACATATGGCTGAAAGTTGGAGACAGATTATTGATTCTTCAAAAAGAAGAATAAAAGCTTTTTTACTTCACAACAAGAATAAGTACGCATCAATACCCGTTGGTCACTCAGTGCATTTGAAGGCAACTTATTGTAACTTGGCATTGATCTTGGATTAATTAAAGTACAAAGAATTCGAGTGGACAGTTTGTGGGGATCTTAAAGTAATTTCTATGATACTTGGACAGCAAGGTGGTTACAAAAAATTACCCTTTTTTCTTTGTTAATGGGATAGTCGTGCTAAAACTAAACACTGGAAGCAAAAAGTGTGGCCAAAAAGAACATTGAAGATCGGAGATGAAAACGTGCACTTTGAATTTTTGGTTGATCCTAAAAAGGTCCTTCTACCACCACTCCATATCAAACTTGGCATGATGAAGCAGTTTGTGAAGGCATTGCTAAAAGATGGTGAGACATTCAAATTTTTTTCAAGCAAGTTTCCTGGTCTGTCTGAAGCAAAGCTGAAAGAGGGAGCTTTTGTTGGTCCTGACATTCGTGAGCTAATGAAAGATAACAACTTTGAAAATATGGTGAACTATGTTGAGAGGTCAGCATGGAATTCTTTTAAAGACGTAGTAACAAATTTTCTAGGGAATCAGAAAGACTCGGACTTAAAAAATATTGTAGAAAATATGTTGTGCAATTCTAAAAATCTGGGATGCTCAATGAGTTCAAAACTCCATTTTTTGAACTCCCATTTGGATTACTTCCCGGAAAATCTTGGTGCAGTTAGTGAAGAGCAAGGTGAGAGGTTTCACCAAGATATAAAAGAAATGGAGAGAAGGCATCAAGGTCGATGGGATACAAATATGATGGGCGACTACTGCTGGATGCTGCATAGGAAAATGTAACATCCCACAAAAGAAAAAGCTCTAAACGAAGCTTCGAAACTAAAAAAACTAGATTTTATAAAGCTTTTTTTTAAAAAAACTAGATTTTATATAGTTGTGTATAATGTATACAAATTATTTTATGATTTAAAATGAACCAAATTTGCATAATTTTACCATTTTTTTTCTTCTTATGATTATTGTCTAAATAAGTAGTGTAAGGTGGGCTTTGCTCATATTTAATTTTCGACTTAGCGGAAAATCCTTACGTAATGGGTCGAAATGGATGGTATTATTGAAATTATTTTATGATTTAAAATGAACCAAATTTGCATAATTTTACCATTTTTTTTCTTCTTATGATTATTGTCTAAATAAGTAGTGTAAGGTGGGCTTTGCTCATATTTAATTTTCGACTTAGCGGAAAATCCTTACGTAATGGGTCGAAATGGATGGTATTATTGAAATCAGCATACCAAAATACATATAATTCACCCATTCAAAAAAAAAAAAAAGTTTTAATTTGCAGACCTGTGTAATTAATAAATATATTTTAAAGCTCCATTATTTATAAAAACTTAAAAATTTTAGTAGTAATAGCAAATATAAAATGCGAATTAAAAAAATATTGGCAGTACCCACATAGACCGTAATAAATTTTTAAATGTTAAAACTTTTTTTTTAAAAGTTAGTTATTAGAGAAATAATTATTTAGCACCGATACTGTTACTTACTAAATTAATTGATGATGTCAAGTGTAGGAATAAAAAAAGAGTTTCTTTAAAATTACAAATAAAAACGTTTTTTCATATTTTGGAGCACTGTTAAATAATATATAACAAAAACGAATAAAATGCAAAAGAGTAAGAAAACCCAATTTACTATGTGAAACATAATTTTTAATTTTGGAACTGAAAAACTGATATTGTTACATTAACTATGCACAACATCCTGTGCTGAACACAACCAGCCATATAATAAAGGCTACCATTCACCTGATTATTTACAAACTAATTGTCTTTTTTTAATTAATCACATATGTAAGTAATTTCATCTTTTATCAGGTCGATCGTGCAACGATCTTTATGCTAGAGCAACGACAATCAGTTTCTTCAATGAATTCATGTTTGCTGAGTAATTTCAACCGTTGAAGACTAAAACTGTTCATTGTTCGTTTTGCTGATATAACATAATTATCGCCATTTAGTATCTACAGATAAATAAATATTTCATAATATTTAATAATAAGGCTAAATAAATTGGATTGAATATGAAGTGATTGAGTTTTAAAAAAATTTTCCAATTCTTCGTCCTGATAAATCAACTACAAAAGTCAGAATTGTATTTGATGGATCTGCAAAATATAATGGTAAATCAATTAATGATGTTATTTATCAAGGTCCAAAACTTCAACAAGACCTTGTGACTGTTTTGCTGAGATTTCAAAAATACCCAGTGGCTTTAGATTGTGATATAGCAGAAATGTATTTAAAAATTGTAATATATAAAGATGACCAAAGGTACTAATAAATTTTATGGAGAAACCTAGATCGAACTGCTGAGCCTGAGGTATTTTAGTTTAATCGACTGGTATCTGGAATCAACTCAGCACCTTTTATGGTTCAATTTGTAAGCAAGAACACGCAAGAAAGTATGCACGAAAATTTCCTCTGGCTTCTGAAGCTGTTCTTGAAGCAACTTACATTGACGACACAATAAATTCTGTAGTTGATGAAAAAATAGAAATTCAATTATACAAGGAACTCACGCTACTATGGGGTTCAGCAGGAATGTTTGCACAAAAGTGTCTTTCAAACTCGGTCAAAGTTCTTAAAATAACACCAGAAAATTGTGCAGAACATATAAATTTAGATTCTGGAGAATTGCCTGCAATAAAACACTTGGAGTTGTCTGGAAAGCAAAACCTGATTTATTTAGTTTTCATTCTGTAGCAACCGAAGAAAATACGGTATATACAATAAGAATTTTGCTTAAAAAAATGGCAACGTTGTTCGACCCATTGGGTTTTTTAGCACCATATATTGACCTGTGTGATCATAATGTCAAAAGCCCGAGTAAGCCTATTGCAATCTATTAGTATACCAAGACTTGAGTTGCTTGGAGCTGTCCTCGGTTTACGACTTGCAGAGAAGATTGTCAAAGTATTGAAGCTGGAAACTAAGGACGTAACTATATGGTGTGATAGTCTTAATGTTTTATGGTGGATAAAAAATCAAAGTCGAAACCATTTGTAACCAACCGCGTTGGATTCATTCAATTTAAGACTGAACTAAAATAATGGAGATACATACCAACAAAAAATAATGTAGCTGATTTATTAACAAGAGGAACAACAGTTAAAGAATTAGAAAGTAATAATGTATGGTGGCATGGACCAAGTTTCATTAATTCTTTAGAAGAAAAATGGCCACAGAATCACATTGAAGTCTTACAAGCGGCTTCAATTAAAGTAAAGAAAAATCCAGTATTAACGAATTTCGCATTATCCACTGAAACAACAAAGCAATTGCTTGATATAAACAAGTTCTCATGTTGGAAAAAACTTATCAGGATAAACGGCTGGATCAATCAGTTTATAGGAAATTGTTGATTTGAAACAGACTTTTGTAAAAAGGGCGATATAGCAGCTCATGAATATCATGAAAGCAAAAAAGAAGTCATAGCTAAAGCTCAAAAAGAAAGCTATAAAGAAGAATATAGCAACATTGAAAAAGAAAAACCGATATCGATATCAAGCAAAATCATTTCTTTAAATCTGCAAATTGACAAAGACGAATTAGTGCGTTCATGTAGTCGATTGCAAAATACCCATTACTCACCCTACGATGTAGGGTGAGTAATGGGTATTTTGCAATCGACTACATGAACGCAATTTTTTCAGCTACATGAACGATGAATTTTTTCACTACATGAACGACTTTTTTCAGCTTTTTTCAAAAGCTGAAAAAAGCTCTAAAACAATTTTTCTGTATAAATGTTTTAAAGCTCACTTTTCCATTATTTTTTAAAAGGCTTCACATTAGGTTAATACTTAAATAGAGACAATTGCTAAGGTTGTTACTAAGAATTTTAAAATAACCTTGTTTTTTAATACTTATTTAGGGAGTTTTTATTAGCTTTTAAAGAAAAGTGGTGCTAAATTAGGTAGAAGTTTAAAATTAAAAAAAAATACATATTGTGCTTTTAATAATACCACCATAATAAAAAGACACATTTTTAAGATCTTCATAAGGTATTTGTATTTTTTTTTTCTAAAATCTGCCTTTAGGTATTTAAATTTTTTTTTTAGAACGTATCTTAGATCAGAATGCAGATTTTTAATTACACCGCGGTTATTGTTCCAACACCGGATCATAGATGTTAAATGTAAAATGTCCTAAGCGAGAAATCAAAGCCTTGTCACGCGTCATGAAAATATCCTATTTTTTATGCAGATCCGTATATTTGGTTCTTAAACAAATTCAAGCGGATCCCAAAATTTTTATGCAGATCTTGATAGCAATTGAATGCGAACAAAGCGCGCGGTTTTTCTATGATTACTAATTAAAAAAAAGTTTATGTAGTACTTAAATGAATAACCTGGTAAAAGTTAACAGATATAAAAAAGTTGAAAATAATAAAAATAAATTAAAAAATTGTAAATTTTATAAAAACCATGCTTCAAACGAATCAAAAAAAATTAGAAACGAAACGAAAAAAAAAATCCATTTTTTAATTAGGATGAACAGTATACTTTGTAAGTCGGCCAGTTTGAACATCTAACGTGGCTTTTTCTAGTCGACAGCCTAAATTACAATTTGAATTTGAGAGTAATAAAATTTAAGACATGAAAACTATTGACAATACTTTAAAAACATTATATATATATTGATCAAAATAAACGCATTAGAGTTATTCCAGATCAATTCATCTAGTCTATTAAACCACGTGTCTTACTTGATACATGGTTTATCTTTTGACATGTGATATAGAGAGGGAATCTTATGGTCGTCCGGGACACGGAATGAATCCACTTAAACTTTAAAACAAAAGTCCGGCGGGACGGCATTTTTTAATCAAGAGTGTTTATTAATAAAACCATGGAAGTATAAAACAGATGGAAGTTCATCGAGCCGCAAACATCAAAGCAATTTTAAGTCGTCTCGGGAGTATGCTTGTAACCGACAATTAAAAAAAAAACAAGTTTCACTGGATAAAAAAACAACAAAATTCACTGAAATGATCTTTATTAAAACATTAAAAAATGAATTATTCTAGGGATATGTTGCAAATTTTTAACCATTAGTATTTGCAATTATTCAACAAAAGGTTTATTAAAACTCGGTAATTAAATAGAACCACTTGATTTTAAAAGCATATTTTAGTTTAAGCTTCTTTTCTTGCTTCAAGTCATAACACGACGTTTGATAAAAAAGACAACTAAAACAATTTTTAAAAATGTGAAAAAAATTGTTTTTTAAGTAACTAAAGTTTAAAGTTTTATTAGCTGTATATGATAACTCCATTCATTCTTGTAGTACTCCATTCATTTAATATAAAGTTTATAAAAAAGTTGTTGTTTGCCGTTACGTTGCGCCATTTTTAATGTTTTTCTTGAATATTATTGGCGAACCTTCAAAATACTATATTTTTAAATTATTATAAACGTATCTATTTGCGTCAACGTTTAAAAATTAAGCGTTTAAGTACAGTCTTGATGTCGTTTTCTTATTGTTTACGAAACAAAAGGTTACAAGCATAGTCCCGAAGAATTTCAATGCGGTTGAACTTCCATCTGTTTTATACTTCCATGATAAAACCTTATTTTGAATTACGGAGTTTTTATTTCTTCACTAAAAAAATCTTATCTTGCGTATTAAGTGAAAAAATTTCCTTACCGGTTTTTCCTTAAAAATTTCCTTTACCGTAGTAAGAAGTATTCTTTGATTTAAGGAAACTTATTTCCTTAAGTCCAAATAAGGTAAAAACAAAGGAAAATTTAAGGAAATATTTTATGGTACTCGATTAAAACGTACTTCCTTAAAAAAATGTGCGCTTTTAGTGTTTCAGTAAAGGCGCTGATATCGTATGAAATGATAGATATACATTATAAATAAAAAATTATTTATTAACGAAAATTATTGTTATTTTTAATATTAGAAAACAGTAAATTGTTTCCTAATCGTCATGGAGTATTAGAAAAAAATTGAATAAGCTGGTATAATTATAATTAAGTAAAACTACTTGTATGTGTATATACACATACATGTTCTTGAATATACACACACATGAATGTGTATATACACAATCATGTATATGTGTATAATGTTAAATGCTCTCCCGCGGTGCTCTATGATAAGACCGTAAGAACTTCTGGGAGCACCTAAATACATACAAATACGTAAATATTTTCTAAATAGATATTAAAAAGTAAATAGAAGCATTTTCTGTATGTAACTTGCTATTTATGTAATTATTTGTTTTGTAATTAGTAAGCTTATGTTGTAGAAATTAATTTATTAATTAGCTGTGGCAAGATTTTCGTTATTTGTATCCTGATGCAAGTAATTGATTTGTTATGTGTATAGGAAATTTGATAACTTTTGTGCTACATTATTGTTCAAAATCAACTGTCAAATACCTTCAAGAATGTAACATTGAGGGAGTTATTGGAGTATCCAGTAAGGTAATATACAAGTGGTCTAAGTAGTGATATGCATATATGTGTAATTTGATGTTGACTGTTAATAACAAAAAAAAAAATTGCATATTGTACAGTGTAATTAGTAGACTTATTGCATTTTTTATAGGTGGACAGACTACAGTTGGTGTGAAAACATTGCTATACCTGTCGCCGATGAAAGGAAAAAAGCACCAAACTACAAAGGAGTTGTTTGATTTGCTAATTGCATATGGAACGCTAAGCATTTTGGATGCATTGTTGTTCATATTTGTTAAAATATAGTATCTAGTTTTCTTTTTTTAGTACATAAATCTACATTAATCTTATAAAGTCTTTATTTTCAAGTTAATACTAACTTAAAACTAATTTAATATAATATTTATAGCAAAAACTGAATACTTTAAATTTGAATAGAATTGGAAACGTCCTAGTTTGTACTACATGTACTTATTTTTTATATTTAGCTTAGCACTGATCCGTAAAACTTAGCTCATCACAACCTGTACCTAGAATATTTGTTGAATAATCTCGACAAGATCACTTGGAGAATTGTATGCAACGGAAAAGTTTGCTTGCCTGAATTTTCGATTGTGGAATGCTTAGATTAAATGTTTAAGTTGTGTTTGATATTTTATTTGGAGTATGCTTACGGTTTAGAGATGTTTTTAAACTTTTGCAATTTAAAATACAATTTAAAATTTGGCATGGAAAGAATGGTTGGCACCTTCAACAGTGTAGCTTGACTTTTTCAACTGTAGCATATACTAACTAGTGATCACCATTGACGATGTATGAAAACATGGCGTAGTTAAAGTGCCAACAAACTTGTATAATTAATTCAGTTTTGTTATTTTGTGTGCTCATCGTACTACAGTTATTAGATTGTATTAGCTTGAATATTTGGCTGCATGCTAATGCTGCAGTTGTTAAATTGTATTTACAGGAATATTTGACTGTGTAAATTACTTTTTAAATTTGCATGCATATGCTGCATTTATTACATTGTATTCACTTGAATATTTGGCTGTGCAAATGGCTGTGTTATTTTGTGTGCTATTTGTGTGTGTTATTATACTTTGTAATACTTGTAATCTTGCAACTTGTTCCCCAATAAGTTATTACTATAGCAGCCATTTTGCTAAACACTTGTCACTTTTTGTAGTTTTGATTTAATAATTATTTAAATCTTGGGTGCTACCCATCGTGCAACTATTTTGTATTGTAACTTTAGTACATGTTTCAAAATATTAAAGGCCGTTTTCCACAAGACGAAAATTTCGCGCGAAGCGAATTTTTTCGTCGATAAGCATGCGCAGATTAAACATTTTTAGCAATGATGCTGATTTTTTTTCGCAACTGCGTTTCGCTGCAGCGAAAAAAAAAGTCGGATTCATTTCGACTTTTTGCGAATCGCCATAAGCAATAAACCAATCAAGTTTGAATATTATATCACGTGATGTCAACAGTAAAAAAAAGCGAAAACATGTTGTTTTTAAAGTAAGAAAAAACAAAATTCTTAATTTGGCGTTCTTATTAATTTTATATGAACTCACTCTGAAAATTGGCAAGCATGAGTAAATTCATCAAACAAGGAGCAAAATTTATTTAAAAAAATGACCACACTTATATAAAAAAATAAATCAAGAATTTACCAATTTAAATTCAAAATTAAGTTCAAGTGGCCACTCGAAGGTAAACCTTTTTGTGAAAAACCCTACATAGAGTTAAACCCTGCTGTTCATTCTTACATTAACAGTTTTTTTAATAGAAATGTTCATATCAGAGTTTAGCATTTATTTTCTTATACTTTCTTGTAAAAAAAAAACCTTATATTAAATGATTATATTACAAAATGGTATTACATCTTACATATAAAGACAGAAGTGGTAATATTAATGCATGGAAAGAAATTTTCACATGCTTTAAAGTAGAAAGCATGCTAAAAAAGTAATAACTGCTTTTAGTTAAACATACAGCGTAAACTTATTGCTGCAATTTTATTGTTAACAACGAAAAAAAAGTAGCGAGAGTGGAAATCAAAACAGCGTTTCGTCATACGCTATTCGCGCGAATATTTTGTCTTGTAGAAAACGGCTTTAACCTTGGTGTTGCCAAATGACACAATTTTGTTTTGAATTTAAGCGATCAAAACAATATTGTTTTTTAGTATTTTTTAGTATTTTAGTCATTTTTTTAATTGGTTAAAGAAGTTGGGAGGTAAAAAAGAACAGGTAGTACTCTCGAGTCCTTAATACAAGGCGAGTGGGATTAAAAAAAAAGACGGAGGGGAATTTTAGTTCAGATCTAATAAACGAGGGATTTTAATGAAAGGTAGGGGGGGGGGAAACTTGTTGTAAACCCTTTCTCTTTATCCTTCATTAAATAACGTTGCTGTTGATGAATTTAATGCTCATCACAATGAGTGGCTTGGCTCTTGTGTCAGTGACTCTGCAAGCGTTAAGGCCTACAATTTTCTCTATTTTCTCAACTTTCTCTAAGACAAAAAGTCAACCTTTTAACTTGCTTTCCAGACAATCTGAATCATTTACCTTTTCTACTCAATTTATGTTTGGTTTCTGATCCTAGTCAGTGGTCAGTTTCTCCACATTAACACATTAAGGTGCTTTTAATCACATTTCGATCTCTCTAAAACTATTATTTCATTCTTCTTTATCACTAGGATTCCCTTATCATCGTACCTTTTACAACTACTTTAAAGATTACTGGACTCTTTCCGTGATTTTCTTTGTGATGGTCCTTGGGTAGATCCTTTCGTCTTTTTGCTGATAAATATGCTTCTTATGTATCCTCTCGGAATCAAGTTGACATGAAATCTTTTAATCCCTGTCGACGATTCCAAATCAAATCATTGTGCTGCTGCAGTCTCCAATCAAAATTATTACTTCCATATCTATTTCTATTCTTCTTATCTATAGGAAAAACAATTCTCTAGAAAACAGACATCTGTTTACTATTGCTAGAAACCGTTGCAAAAAGTGTTTGTCTAACGTCCGGAGACTTCTGGAGAATCTTCAAAAGCGTCTATAATAAAGATCAATCTGTTATTCTTCCTCACTTGCATGGTTCAGATATTGTTTCCCTATCTAAAGACAAAGCTTTATTGTTTGCTAAGAGCTATTTATTAAACTCTTACTTTTATTCCACTTATCACATCCTACCTGATATAGCTGACACACAGGTTGATCCATTGTTTGACATTCGTATCACTCCAGCTTCTGTACCTAAAGTGATTTCCTGTTCAGACTCTTCTATAGCTTGTAGTTAGGACAACATACCTATTATGGTCTTACAGAAGTGTTCTCCGGAGCTGTTGTCTATACTTGTCAAAACTATTATCAAAGATATGTTTTTTAGCCTGCTCGAAAGCGGCATCTATTTTAAAAATACCTGGGGAGTGATTTGACTTGTCTAACTACATTCCCATTAGTCTAGCAATAAGAAAATTTGTAAAATAGTTATCATAAGCCATTGCTTGAAATTAAGTTAAAGGTTAGTAATCAAATTAAGTTTAAGGTTAGTAATCAACCTTAAGGTTAGGATCATAAGAATTAATAAGCAGAATTTCATTACTTACCATAAGCGATTGGTGTAACCTTAAACAATGTATGAAGAGGAACTTTGATGCGGCCAACTTCATCTAAATATTTTTAAGTAAAAGTATTAACCAACCAATCGAGTGTATAAATAGATAATTGTTATCATAATTTCATTTAAGAAAACTTGACTTACCATTTTTTAACAATTGATTTCACTTATTTACTTTATTATACTTAAATACTCAATTTGTTTTTATACTTGTTAAGTCAATTTATTACAGGAGGCATCCTTAAATTACGTACGCAGTAAAACCATTGGTTTAGGATCTTCCTTTCCCCCTTGTATAAACCTGTACGCTTTTGAAGACCCCCTCCTCCGCGTACGTGCACATTATTTTTTTTTTACAAAATTAACTTGATTTCTTTATTTTCTCCTTCATTATTTATTTATAAAGAAATTTAAAAAAAAATGTGACTGAAGCCAGAAAAAATAAAAAAAATTCTGATTTGTTACACACGTAAAATTCAATGTTTTTAAAAATAATAAAATCAAGTTTAGGAGAGATAATCAAACTGCATCGTACTAGCTGTCTTTAACACCCCGTCTCTACCACCTTGTACGCGTTTGTACACTTTTGGGGAACCTCCTCCCCCCATATCTACAAACATAATTTATGGATGGCTCCATAACTTATAAAAGAATAAAACATTAAATTTTAACTTTTGTATTTAACATAGATGAGTATTTGACTTAATGAAACTTGAATAAATTAAAAAGCAAAAAAAGAAAAAAACTTGTTTTAAAAATTGATAATATTTGCATTTAAACATATTTGTTTAAATGCAAAAGTTGCCGTTTTTAAAATTTTATGTAAAAGTATATAACTTTCAAATTAATGACAAAAAACATCCGGGAAAATTAAAGTAGTTTTGCGTGAATTTCCGGAATTCCGGGAAATCCCGGAAAAAACTCATCTATGATTTAACAATTACTAATTCATTTATAATAGGTATATGTTAATTCACTTTGATTTTTAAAACTTTCAATAATAGATATCAACATAATCTCTTTGAATTTGTTCAATCTTTTTAATAAATTAGTTTGCTTTTTAAACTGGTGACAAACTACACTTTGTTATTCTTATATTTTAATCAGAATAAGAGTAAATCTTTAAACTACCTGGATTGTGTTCTAAGAAGTAAGCCATTAGACATCGAATAGTTGTCTAAAAAACAAGATTTTTTTTTAAATATATATATATATATATATATATATATATATATATATATATATATATATATATATATATATATATATATATATATATATATATATATAAATATCAGTCATATTATTTAACTATTCGGGAAATATTATCTATAGATTTGGTAAAATAACTTAAACTTTCAAGGTGACAGAACTGAGATAGAAGAGAGAGACAGGGTAACAGTACTGAGACAGAAGATAGAGACAGGGTGAGAACTGAGAGTGCATCAAACATTTTTTGCATTTATTTTGATGAAATCAATGCATTTTTAACTGTTTCTGTGGAAAATTTGTTGGAGAAAAATCCTAATTTTAGTTTAACTGTTGAGTTAGCTGTTTGAATTATTTGTAACTAAAATTTTCACAGTTTTTAAAAAACAGTTCACAGCATAGAAAAGCTTACTAAAGAATAATGCTACCATTCAAAAAGAAAAATGCTACTCTGCAAAAAAATTGAAAAACAAATTGAAATGAATTACGAATAGGAATTAAAAAAACCCTTAACTTGGAAACAAGAACAAAAAACTATTTGCTGGCATTACTTAAACTCGTTAAAATAACTATTTTCATAATCATATATTTTAAAAAATTTAAATGGCATATTATTAACTTTTCCTGAAGTAGTAAAAGACTGATGAATATTTAATAGTTTTATGACGTATAACTTAAAGAGTTTTATGACGTATAACTTAAAGAGTTTTATGACGTATAACTTAAAGAGTTTTATGACGTACAACTTAAAGAGTTTTATGACGTATAACTTAAAGATTAAATATCGATATATTGACCAGTGAACCAAATAATATTGATCAGTTAAATGAATATAACATCGATCAGTGAAATGAATATAACATCGATCAGTGAAATGAATATAACATCGATCAGTGAAATGAATATAATTTTTCAATAGAACAGTCACAGTAAAAGGATGAGACTTCATTGATTGACGAGTAACACAAGCATGAATTTTAGTAAGAAGCACAAGGGACGCAAACTCTTTAGAGCAGTGCAGTTGTAGTATTTACAGAAAAGAAAAAGAGAAGCAACATTACGACAATGTGATAATGACCGGATGTTGGCTGGAAGAGCAAGTTCAACTATGTTTACAATGCGTTTTTGCACCTTGTATAAAACAATGATATATTATATAACTAGATGTCTAACTTCATTACGAAAAGTGAAGCCGCTTTTTGCCCTTTTTACAAATGGCGGATTAAATTTGTAAACAAATATTTTTAACTTTTCTTTTCTTAAATGAAGTAAATATATTTTAAATTTAAATACTATTTACGTTAAAGTGTTAAGCAGAAATTATAATACTTGTAAAATAATAATTTATGATTCCTTAATTTATTTTCGATTAAACAGGGATTAAAGCTTTGAATAGAAAAGTAAAACGTCTTCTACTTTGAAGCATTTTTATATCTCATAAAAAAACTTTTAAAAGTATTTTATAATTGTTAAAACGTGTTTTTGAATTATCTTTAAATTATTAGGAACTTTTGACGTGTATTTTTAACTTTTATTCTACACTTCGGCTTCAGCTTTTGCCCTTTTTACAAATGGCGGACTATTGTTATTAACAAAAAAAAGTTTTTTTATTAGAAAAAAACTTCACTTTTTTTCTAATAAAATCCCGCAAGTTAGACATCTAGTTATATAATATATCATTGGTATAAAAGAGAAAGGGCATTAATGGAAGATCCGCTACCAATATAACAACAATATTCCATACAATGACAGATTTGATATTTATAGAAATAAAGAATAAAATCCTTAGTAAGAAACTGGCCAGCACAATAAAAGATGCAAAATTAGCGGATGCTAATTTTGCAATTGATTTGATATATGGTTTCAAAAAAAAAAGTAAGAGTTAGTCCTAAAAGACAAAATATAAATGAGTCATCAAGTTCATAAATATAGCAAGATCAAGATTGAATAAATAAAATGCGTTCATAAATATGGCAAGATTAAGACTATTGCGATAATGATTTGCTGAAAAAAATTGAGTTTTATCTGAGTAAAGTTCACCAGCCACTGTTTATCAAGACTGCTGCCCCAGTTCAGAGAAGATAATTTAGTTTCTTGTATTTTAAACTAAGTTTGATGATTTTGGTTTTGATTCTGTGTCCTGAAAATACAAACTCCCTTCCAAACCCAGCATTATTTCAAATTTTTTTAATCCAAGATACCAAACAGGAGTTTTTAAAATTTGTAAAAACACCATTTTTACTAACAAAATCCTTGGATTTTGATTTCAAATTGCAACAAACGTTAGTAAAAGTGGGTTTGTACTTAAACTGTGACTTGCACATGATAAATTGATAGCATCTTTTCACTAATAGATGGAAGCTGTATTTGAGGTAATTCCCTCAGTGGGTACTTTAACAAGTAAATATACCTCAACTTTTCTGTATCTTTTCATTTTTTCTTTGTCTGTCTCAGTATCATCCTTTTTTTTAGCTGTTTTACCCATTTTTATATAAAGTTTCAAATAATTAGCTTTTTTAATTAGATTTATTAACAAATATTACACACCAATATTTTATTAAGTCTTAATTTCTTATTTATTCTTAAATCACATTTTTATTAAGTTTGCGGTTAAACAAAAATTCCAGCTAAATGGAACTATTTGTGTTTCAATCATTAATAATGTCAATAGGGAATTATACCAACATATAACAGGGAATAATATTAATCACTAATAATGTTCATAGAAACTATTACTAAAAGAATTATTGAGTAGTAATTATTAAATCACATTAAAACATATTGTGCTGGTGCATAATAGATAGTGTTGTTTGTAAGTACACAAAAAACAGAACTTACATCTAAAACTTCTAGACATAAAACTTTAAAAAAGATTATGAAAGTTATTTAGGATCTATAGAATGGGAATCAGTAGAGCACATAAAAATTAAAAACACCCTAATTCGAAAGAATATACAAATAAATTATATTTAAATTTGATATTTACAATATAATGTACTCAAAAGTAGACAGAGCAATAATGGAACTTCAGTGTTTTGAAAAGACCTGCTCTTCCAGACTAGTTAAATACAATTATTGAGTATAGATTTAGGCTATATAAATATATAGGCTATAGAGTAAGCATGCATCAATTATAATAATAAATAAGTACCCTGTGAGAGATAACTAACACATTTTGCTGCCTTTCAAGCTCCTAAATGTTAAAATAAAGAATCAGAATAATTTAGAACAACTGTCTATATTTTTAAATTTATTTTAAACAACTGTCTAAATAATTTAAGCAGTTGTTTAAAATTTATTTTAAACAACTGTTTATATTTTTAAAAAATATAGAAAAATAATATAAAAAAATACAAAAAAAAAAAAATGTACAATATTAATTATCAAAGTAAAAGGAAGAGAAAATGTAACATACCATAATCACTGGCTCTAATCTAGACAGCATGTCATGATACGACTAAAATTATAAATCAATAAAACAAAAAGAAATTATTTATAATTCAATGTACTAAGTAAAAATTTTTTAAAAATCAACATAACGTATAAAAAACATATAAAAATGTTAGATTAGTTTATAAAAGATTTATACATATATTCTAACCTCACCAGATGGATATCTCCAATTAAAATCTAAAGGTCCACTTGATTCTGTAAACTGATCAGGATACTGTTTTGCAAGGTCAGTAAACTTCATTCCATGATACTCTCCCTAATACAACATAATTTTGACTTTTTTATCATTAAAGGTTGGAATTAGATAGGGTTTATAGAAAAACCATTATTTTGAAAAGCCGGTTTTTAAATTTCAAACTTTAAACGGCTTCAAATTTTTGTTAAAAAAATTAAATAGGAAATAGTATTTATTTTAATTTTATGAAATCACAAAAAACAACCACAAAGTCAAAATATAAAAAAAAAAAAAAGAATCACACATAACTTACAAAACAATGAATGCTTTTAAAAACAAAACTTAAAATATAAAGCTAAAATTAAACTTAAAATAATGAAAGCAGAAAAAGAAAAATTTAAGCACTTATTAAATAGCCTAGTGAAAATTGAACAAAGTTCTGAAGTATAATTTTGCAAGAGTATGACAGGAGTGTTGTCTGGACCACAAGCCACAGAAGAGTTTAACTAAGATATGACGTTAGCAATGGAAACTGGAGTGATTAGAATGTCTAACAATGAACTAACCTGTTTAATTGGAATTGCATGAAAAGAATGGCCATAAGATTCAAGAGTCGAATTAAAATAAAAGTTCTTTGAAAATACTTCTTCCTTATCGTTGGGAGAGGTAATAAGATAAGTCCCATAAATGAGAGATGAAAAAACTACTTACATTTGATAATTGACTTTTAATAACTTAATTAGTTTTTGAGCTTCTTTTTTTAAACAATTTATACTGTTGCACATGTAGTTCGATTTTTACTGCTAAATTTGTGGTTTGAATATAAAACAGAAATTTCTATTCAGCTGTCATGAAATTATCAATCAATCAAATTACAAAAGAAAAAGTTAAATTCACAGTAAAGCATAAAAATTCTTTGAAGAAAAAAAAAAAAAAAATTAATTTCTTTTAACTTGCTGTCAAAATTAATACCACTCAAAAATATAAGGTATTGCCCTGAACTATTAAAAATAAAAAAAATTGTTGAAAAGATGGAGTAGAATAATAAGCAGAATGAAATAGTTAACAAGAATAAATAAACAAGAATAAGATAACTTGTTGATTATAACATTTAATTTATTCATTGTAATTGATTGTGTAGGAAACATATTTTTAAATAAATATAAAAATACATACACAATTTAAATAATCCAGGTTCCTCCATATTTCAATGGGTCCATTAATATATTTTGAAGTTTCTATACAGCCTTGTATTGAACTAGTCCATACCTATAATAAATAAAAAATAAGTAACCTCTTAAAATGCACACAAAATAATGTATATAAAATGTTTAAAAATAAAAATGTTTAAAAATGCCTACAAAACAGACAAAAACTTTTTTTAAGCCTAAAAAATCAACAACTTGATGTTTCAAAGAACAAATAAAAATAAACAACTTGATGTTTCAAACAGCAATTAAAAATTAACAACTCGATGCTTTAAACAAAAATTAAAATTGATTTATTTATAAAACAATAAAATTTATAATATATTTATAAACTTAACAACAATTTAATAAATTATACAACTACATCAAATTATAAACATATTTCAAAGATGACTTGTTTATTGCAGTTTAAAATAAAGAAATAAACAAAAAAAATAACTTTTTAAAAACAACATTTTTGAAATGAACTAAAAATTAAAAACTGAAATTATTTTTTGGGACCCATAGACTTTGTATACCTACACAACCGATAATGTCTATAATAATAACAACCCATAATGTTTATGACTGTAAATGCATAAATTCTTTGTAGTACCTATGGAATTTTGAGTATGCACACAATCAGGAATTTACATTAATGATAATAAATGGTTAAGAAATTTTTAAAGATGCAACTAATAAAAACTTGATTTGATAGGTGTCCAACATTGACTTCCAATGGATATTCCAAGGTTACCATGAAGAATTTTTACATTTTAAAAGTCTATTACTTAATTACTTTTTTTAGCAATCATTAAAACTGATGCAACTGATTTCTTTTACACATTTTCATTACTAAAATAATGTTTGTTTTGTGCAGACAGTAATAAATGAACATAAATAAATGAACTGAGAAAAAACCAAATTAAGAAAAATGTTGTAAAAAACTTATCAACATTATTTTTTACAACTATCATCGTAGTTTCTTATTTGTTTCAGATCTTTAAGAATATATACAATTTTTATTAAATTTTACACACACACACAAAAAAAAAAACTCTCAAATAACAGAAAAGGGTTTATTGTGGAGTAGATAAAGGCAGTGAGACAAAGTCTGTCGCTCTTGACATATCAAAAGGTTTTTCTATAAAGTCTTACATACTGGACTTCTTCATAGGGTTTCTTACATGATGAATCTGGTAATTTTTTTTTAATTTTTGATTCATTTTTTTCTAACCTCGGCATAAAAGTTATTCTTGAAGGACAACACTCTCCTTCATTTCCAGTAACTTCTAGAGCTACCTAAGGTTCCATCCTTGGAATGTATTGTTTTTTATCTATATTAATGATCTTCTTGACATTCATTTATCTAAAATGGTTCTTAAAGATGATTCCTGAAGCAACAAAATATTTTTTTACATCTTTTAGGTTCAGGTGTTTTGTTTATACAATTATTATGTAGCATCATTAAGGGTAGATTTAAATTTTCTGCAAGTGTGAGTTTTTAGATCTGTTGATCTAGAAGTTATTTACTTTTGTGTGACTTGAGAAATTAAATTGCACACTTGTTTTTTAACCAAAAAAGAAAATGCTGAGTGTTAGAATAAAGCAAAGGAATGAAGTAGAAAGAGTGTAAGATAGGCTAAGATCCATTCAAATTTAGGGGTAGAGAAGATTTTTTTTGTAAGTGGGCAAACTTAAAAAATTATTTTTTTAAATAAACACACTTGCTTTTAGACAAAAAATAATTTTTTTTAAATAAACCTATTCATACCTAATTTTTTATCCTGGCTAGGGAGATGAAAATTGGTGGTGCAAAGAGGCAAAATAAAATAACAGTGTGAGGTTAAAGTAACTACTTTTCCTAATTCCTAATATCAATACACTATTTAGCATAAAATGTTAACAAGTTAACATTATATTAATTTAAAAAATTAACTATTGGAATTTTATCTTAATAAATTTTAGTAAAATTTTAGTTTAATCACACCTTATCGATTGGTTTAGGAATAAAAAAATAGTAAAAAAAACTAGAATGGTCGGTAGGCAATTAAATAAGTTTTAATAGATTGATTAAAGAGAAAGATTAAATAGATACATTAAGATCAAAAAGGTGGTTGAACAAAAACAGATCTTTATTTTAACCAACTCAATTAGCAAGCTAATAGAATTGATTAGACGTTCATTAGCTAGATTTGTAAGTGTACTGCAAATGGTTTTGTCAAAAAAGCTAGCTATTCCCCATCATGTTTACATTTAACTGACCTTGGTAACAACAATTATAATAATTGTTACCAAGGAAAGTTAAGTGTAAATGATGATGGGGATAAGGGAGCTATTTTGAGAAAAATATTTGCAGTACATTATAATTACAAGTCTATAATTTTAAGCTAACATGTCTTGATGAATTGCTTGACTTGCTCTTTTAAGTTAGAATAAGCTAGTTAAGCTAGAATAAGCTAGTTTTAAGTTAGCTTTTATGTTTTCTATATTTTATATTGTGCAACAAAGTTCCATCAATGGCTCATTGACTTAATGTTGCCCATCTACACAAAAAACATATGTGTGACTAATTCTTTTTCTGTGATGCCCCTGTCATGACTGTCCAAGAGGTAAAAGAAACAAGAAAATTTAGGTAGAATAACATCATTTTATCAGGATTCATACAAAGTACTCTTTGAAATGAATATGTAAACTATGTTAGTCAAAAAAACAGGTAGAATTTGTCTGCAATAAAAGAGTAATTGTTTTGTTTATTAAGAACCAGCAAGGTTTTTAGATTCCAGGATAAACATTACTTATATACATAAAAAGTGCATTTAAAAGAATAAATATTCTTGCCATAGAGTACCCTAAAAAAATCATATGATATGGAAATAACTAAAAAAATCCAGTGTAAATTTTTTCAGTTAGAGCAGTGATTAAATCTCAGAAGTTTTGATTCAGTTAGAGCAGTGATTAAATCTCAGAAGTTTTCTTAGGGTAAGGTTTAGGGTTAAAATTTAAAAATTTAATAATTTTCATGTTAATAACAAGAATTGAACAAAACCCCCTGAACAAAACCTAAAACCCCTGACCATGAAAATCAACATCCTTTAACCTTAACAAACATTCTTAAAAATCAACATCCTTTAACCTTAACAAACAGTCTCTAACTGTTTAACATTTCAATTAAAATTTATTTTTACAATTGGGGATTTGAAATTGTATAAAATTTATTAAAAACAATACGTTATATTGTAAACAATAAATATTAAAATGAAAAATACCCGAAAATTTTGCAATGATTCTTTCTTCATATACTCACTAAGCGCTGAAGCAAACTAAAAAAGAATTTGTCAAAAAAAATTACAATTAATAAAAACATTACAGACTAAAATTTGGTTTATTCTAAAAACTGTGTCCGCTTATAAATTTTTTAAACTTAACTGTTTATAAAAACATTAATTACACCTACAAGTTTGAAACAATTACCCATCTAAATCAAAAAGTTTTATTAAATAAAAAAAATTCAAAATGTATAAAAGTGTTGAATCTAATTAATATATTTGTAAAAAGGTCTTGAAACATTTTTAGAACCAACATATTATATAGTTTAAACTAATTTATTTCACTTCTATATATATATTTAATACTTTTGATTACAATGTCTTTGAACTAGGTAAAGAATTATTTATACAATACTATCATAAATAATATCATGTTTTAAAATACATTTTACATAAACTGTAAATCTTATATAAATAAATGCTTTTTACATTTAGCAATTCTTAATTGTTAGAAAAATCTTTGATTTTGACCCCATTGCACAGTGGGCCAGATGGTGGAAAAAAGTATTTAAAAACATTCTCAAAAATGACATTATTATATCCCATTTTATAGCTTAAACATCTGGTTTTTATAAAATGTATATATTTCTGCATAACTATCATGTCGTTTGCATTTTTAACTGTTTTTAAAAAAGGTATTTTTTAATTTTTTAATTTTTTTAATAATATTTTTCGTGTTACTAATAAGCAAAAAAAATTTATTAATATTTAGAGCGTCATTTTTTTATTGCATAATTTAATAAAACTAAGTATTATCTATCAAATGGTTTATTGCAAAGTTACTTTGCACGTAATTTATATCAAATAAATTGATTTCTAATGATTGCGTATTTAAAGTACTTTTCTTAGTGAAAACTTCACTAAAATAATAAAATACTTTTGCGCTCCAAGGTCCTCCAGAAATTTGAGACTTGAAATATCTTGTCTAATATGTACATAATCGATATATATTTTACCTATTGTCGACGGATGTCGACTGCGTCTCTATACATAATTTTTATGAGTTGCATGTTTGGAACAGGGGGGTTAACATTCTGTTTTTTTTATGTTCCCAGGCTCCAATCATTGTAATTTTTCAGCAAAACATCTTTTTTATCACATTAAAATGAACATGTAAATATGTGGAGCTTGTTTCATGTTTGGTTGTCCAAATGTCTCATGAATAATATATTTTTTGTATTGTAGGATGAAAATGAAATATTTTGATATCTATGCATTCTTAGTGCACAAGCGTAACAATCTACAAATATCTGACTGTGGTATTGAGGGAACACTTATTGAGGCAATGAATTTGGATTGCAACAAGAAGCAATTAGGAACTATACTAGCGCATCTAAGAGATAGGTGGCGCAAGTCAGATAGCAACATGGCTCGATTTGAAAAAAAGAATAAAAAATGGCTGCAAAGCCATGTTCCTGAAGATATAAATATAACACCAATACCTATTGGAAGGCCAATTAAGGCAAACTTTGATGACTACTCTACTAAAACCAAAAAACATAAAGTTAGTCACTTAACTGAAATGTATTCTGCTTCTGCGTTGCAATTTGCTTCAGAAATTAAAAGGAGAAAAGAAAATCCAATTGAAAAAACCTCAAAAAAAGATTTTAGAATGTCTAAAGATGAAGCTCTTTGTCTTCTTTTAGATGCTAAATTAACAAAAGCTTCCTACCAAATTATTAGAAATCAAGCAGTTGAAAAGGGATTTGATATATATCCGCCATATGATGATGTTCAAGATGCAAAGTTGTTATGCTATCCTGTAGATATATGTCTCAGATTTTTCAGCTGAAATAAAACTGCAAGCTTTGGTGGATCATACATCAAATAGAATATGCCAGGCACAGTATGATGTCCTTAGCACTGAAGGCACTCCATATAGTCTTTCTCTGAGATACAAAATAGGCTTTGATGGTGCCACAGGACAGTCCATATATAAACAAATATCGCAAGAAACAGTAACAAGAAATTTAAACGATGAGCAGGCACTTTTTATTACTTGCCTAGTACCATTGGACTTGTGTGGCTTTTCAAATGGAAAACGTTACCCAGCTTGGCGAAACCCACGACCATCATCAACAATGTACTGTAGACCTCTGCGTTTTAAATTTGAAAAAGAAACGGCAGCAGTTTCTAAATCAGAGGAGGATCTCATTTTGAGATTTCAAACTTGAAAGATACTGAAGTTGATATAAATAACAAAAAAATCAAAATACATCATATAATACAAATTACTATGATTGATGGAAAAGTTCACACTGCTCTTTCAGATGTTACAAATTCTAGTCAATGCTGTACTATAGGTGGGGCAAGTCCCAAAGTAATGAATGATATTGAAAAAATGATTTTGAAAAACAATATGACAATATGCTTGGATACGTTTTTTTGAATGTTTATTACATATTGGATATAAAATGACTTTGAAAAAGTGGCAGGCAAGAACAGTAGAAGATAAACCTAACGTAAATGCTCTGAAACAAAAAATTCAAAATAGATTTAAAGATGAAATGGGCTTGATAGTTGATGTTCCGAAATCTAGTGGTAGTGGAACATTAAATTTTTTTTTTTTTTTTTTTTTTTTTTTTTTTTTTTTTTTAATTCACCTCCTCAAGGCCAAGAAGGCCACTACAGACGAGAAGGCTACTTATTTGTGGTTATAACCCTCTCTCAACTCTATAACTCCAAAACACGAACCTTGACAAGCAAGGCCGCTGCGCGGAGAAACGAGTTGATGGAATGATGGAAATACGGCTCGAAGAGCATTTCAAAATGCAGAAAAGTTTGCAGAAATTTTAAATATTGATGTTAAACTGGTTCTAAATTTGCATATTATATTGGCAACAATTTCATGTGGTTTAGACATTGACACTGAAAAATTTGAGGCTTTCTGTTTAAAAAACAGCTTGTCTTTACGTTCATCATTTTCCTTGGTACTATATGCCACAATCTCTGCACAAAATTTTAATTCATGGTTCTGAAATTATTAAAACTTTAGCATTACCCATTGGTATGTATTCTGAAGAAGCTCAAGAAGCGCGCAATAAAGACTTTCAAAACTATCGTGAACATTTTGCAAGAAAATCATCTCATGTGAAAACGAACCAAGATTTGTTAAATCGACTACTGTATACATCCGATCCATTTATTGCATCTCTGAGAAAGACAGCAGGAAGTAACACCAAAACGAAAAACTTACCGTCATGAGTTATTGACTTATTGATGTCATCCACAGATTATATTAGTTTATAAATGTGTCTTTTGTATTTTTTGTATTCAATCTTAATAATTTTGGAAATGTGTGTACTAATATTAAAGTGTGACTGTAAATTAAAACAAATAGTTATGCTCAATTATATTAGAATCATCAAATTATTTTAATTTGCAAAACAAGTTTAGAAACATTTGGCTAAAAATAACACTTTGGAACTAAGCATAAATATGTGTTTCTATGCAATCGGGGTTGCTATGGCAACCATCAGAAAACCATGCTTACTTAAATTATAATCATCCAATTACTTTATATACAAATTTTTGAGGCCTATGGATGAAAGGAAAAAAAGTTATGACTTTTTTCCAAAAAAATGGGATTCTGGCCCACTGTGCATTGTGATCACTTTTTATGAGAAAAAATATATTCTAACTGCATCTTTCATCACTTACAATTTTATTACTTTTTTCAAAAAATGTGATTAAAACGTTACATTGCACAACAAGTGAATTATATTGCATAACAAGTTTTTACAATTTTAAGATTTAAATTACAACTTTCTCAAACCAAGGGAAATGCATCAAGCGCGTTGGATGACCAACAACATATATGCTAGAAAGATGTATATGTTTTCCAAACAGATGCAGTATGATGATGACATGGTTACTAAACTCATGCGTAAGAATAGTTTTTTGGCTCATTTCTACACTCCTGCATGGATGAAAACATCATGGGGAGCAGATGCATCTATGAACAACCTCTAGTTTATTTATGACATAATTGATTTTAGAAGCGTTGTCAAAGATATTGTTGATGTTGTGAAACTCCATAATCATCAATGGTACTTGTCAGAAAGAGTTGTGCCGTTTGCTTTATTTAGTAAACATCCTTCAATGACAACTGCACTAAAAAAACCGACTTTAATACCGGAAAACTTCCGCCTTGGTAAACCAGTATTCAAAAAAATTAGTCATGAAATAACTTTGACAAGTTTGATTGGGCCTATATCTCTTTCGCTGCTCTATATTTTAAACGTGAGCACTGGTTGGCTTTCCAAAACAAGTGGAGCGGTGGAATTCAGACCACCGCTCTGCAACTCTAAAGGCTTTTAGAGTTGCAGAACAATTTGTTTGTACAGTTAAATTTGTCAAGTTCGAAGGCCTCAAGAGACCTCAGGATCACATCGAAAATCTGTAAAAATTGATTTAAGACATGTTTAAGATAGTATAATGAGAAAAACTTCACTTCACGACAATACTAAACCTTACGCAGAGAGTTTTTCTTCAAGTAAAACTACACACTTTTCAGCTGACATCCCTACGATCCTTACCAAACCTAAATTCCAAAAATTGTCTCTACCTTATAAATTGTTATTCAAATAAGGGGTAGTTTGAATTGACGTCCACTCGTCAAATGAAGTTGAGGACCTAGTTCCACTGTTAATTTATTGTCTTAATTCATTTCTTATAACATTCTTTATTTTGTTAGAGAAATCTAGTACCATTTTTTTAACATTGATTGGAGATTTAAGTATGTTGACAAATCGCCTCATAAATAACACAATATAAATAATAACAAACAAATTTTTAATTTTATTCTCATTATTGTTATTCTTGTTATTTATATTATAATTTAGTTTTAATAATTAAAATTAGTTTCTTACTATTTCCAAATAAACACGCAAGTTTATTACAATATATAAAGAATATACAAAAGCCACAATGTATTTAGATTAAACTTACTTTAAACTTATAAATCAATAATGAAAACATTAGTATAAAATTTTATAGCTTTTAGAGCATTGGTACTAAACTTTATAGCTTTGTTGTTACTTTTGTTTTATTTGATGCAATTTAAACAAATGCATTAATTGGTAAACGCAGGTATTAATTGTAGTTTTAGAATTTCTAAATCCGGGGATATTTTAAAAATAATTCTGGGACTTCGGGGTTATAAAATTAGGCAGGATCCCAGGATTTCGGGATTGCAAACCCTATTTATAAGTCAGTCATCATTTTTGTGAAACGCATCACCCTTTCCAGCCCCCCCCCCCCCAAAAAAAAAAGCGTCATTAATGTACTAGTTTTACATTATAAAATGTAAAACTAGTAGTGTCCCATGTTAATTAATGTTGTTTATTAATTATTTTAGTTAAGTTTTGTTTTTATTTTTTTTATTTATGTTTTAGTTATTTATTTATAAGCTATTTTTATTTTATCTTTCATTATTTTTTAAGAAGATTTTTTGTCTTTTTTTAAAATAAGTTTTTTTTAGTTTCTTTATAACTAAGTTAAGTTTTCAGCGCTTTATTAAAATGTTAAAACTGTGGTCAAACCGTCAAAACAAAATATTATTTGTGTAGTCATATATAAGCCTAATATATATAGGCTTATATAAATCATATATAAGCCTATATATATATATAGGCTTATATATGATTTATTACACATTTTATTGATCCTTTTTTTTATCTATTTCTTAAATTTTGTTACTTTAATTTGTCTACTGTTGAAATATGATTTTAATGATGTAAATTTTCAAAAATTTAAAATTTACTTTATTAATCATTAAAAAACAGTTAAGGAAAAAATAGAATTCTATACAATTAATTTTTATTGTATTAACCAATATATACAAATATAAGGTTCTTTTAACAATTGTTTACTGTTTTTCACTTGTGTATTTACGAGCTTAATTTTTTTAATAATAGCTTAATGGCAAGTTACAACTAACCAAAGTTATTGGTTAGTATGTTAGTATAATATATATATATATATATATATATTAAAAAGTATGCTTTTTATATTATTTATGAAAAATGAAAAATATTTTTCTATTGACTCAAAGTATATATCTTATCTTATTTTGGGCTTTTTTAAATTATTATGCGCATATATGTATATGTGTGTATATGTGGGTTATATATGTGTATATTATTAATTTTATTAATTTAACCTGACTAGTTTAAATTTTAAACTGGTCAGGTTAAATTATTTCATTTAATGAAGGTTTCATTTAATTTTCTTAAAGGTCTGTACCTTCATTAAATGAATGCTTATACATATGAAATCCAAAAGATACAAGGGGCCTTCCATAAAGTGCGTATGCAGTTATGGGAGGATAAGAGGGTTAGCCAAAAAGATACAAATCTTTGCAAGAAAAGAATATGTGTGTTAAAGGCAGCAAGAACACGCACAGTTTGCCTCTCTCACTCTCTATTTCCCCAAATTAACTAAAGTTTTATGTCAAATTACTAAAAGATTTTTGCTTTTGAATTTTTAAAAAATTTATGCATTGGGGAAGGATGGTGAGGGGGTTGATTTTGTAATGAAAAACCTATATATAACAGAGGAAGGGAGGTTTGGGTCATTGAAAATACACAGGTGTGTACAAAGGGGAAGGGAGGGGGTCCTAAATCAGTAGTTTTACAGCATAAGTACTTTATGGATGTCACCAACGAATTAAAAAAGTTTAAAAGTTATAAACATTGACTAAGGTAGCCTTGGATTCAACAAATTATACCAACAAACTTGTTTATCAGAACTTTTCTGTTACAACATATGAAGATTAAGTTACAACATATGAAGATTAAGTTACAACATATGAAGATTAAGTTACAACATATGAAGATTAAGTTACAACATATGAAGATTAAGTTACAACATATGAAGATTAAGTTACAACATATGAAGATTAAGTTACAACATATGAAGATTAAGTTACAACATATGAAGATTAAGTTTGAATCCCGATAAAATTGTTTTAAGCATTCAAATCAAAAGTAAACAAATGAGATAAAACAAAGGATAAAAAAAAGGAAGTCAAATCGTTTTTATATAATTCTTAAAACTTACATATGTCATTGAAAATTCACATATGTTATCCAGAAAATAATGACTAGATAAAAAATTCTAGCTCTTCACATATTGAAATGAAATTATCAATATTCAATATTGTTGGAATTAACTTGCCATCATCTTATTTCATAATAAGGTGATGGGTTAATATCTATGTTGCAAATAAATTTTATTCAAGGTGGCATTTTCTCTTAAAACCATACTTTGCACTGAATTAATTTCAACAATATTGGTTATAGCTTCAAGATCTTTTGATGATTTCATTTCAATATGTGAAGAGCTAGACTTTTTTATCTAGTCATTAATTTCTGTATATATGTAATTTTTTGATGACATATGTGAATTTTTAAAATTATGTAAAAATTATTTCACTTCCTTTTTTATACTTTGTTTTATCTCATTTGTATACTTTTGATTTTAATATGACTTGCTATCAGGCCTTTTGAAATCAGCCCTTTGCCTTAAAAATTTAAGAAAATCTCATCTCGGTACATTTTTAAGAAATAAATATATAAAGAAATTTTATTTCACAAATATATTGAATTTTGTACAGAATTTGCAAAAAATAAGTACATCTACAGTTTAACTTTTTAGACAGCAATTATTCTTGAAAACTGCACACAAAAAAAAGACTACAAAAAAAAAAAAAAAGACTTAATTACAATTAAAAACATATTATAAATTTATTAAAATTAAAATAAAGGAAGACTATATTCATAAACAATTATAGTAATTAATAAAAATGAATAAATATTTTGTGAAAAATTTGCAAACTTTATCTTCATGAGGTAGATAACTTTGAAATATCAAATGGCACTATTTAAACAAAAACCTTTATTCTATATGTAACTGCAAAAATTTAACTTTATGTTAAATATTAATCATGTAAAAAGCAAGCTACATATACTGGTAAAACTAATAATTTAGGGTATTGTGTAAAGGGATATATTTCTAGTTAAAGAACGAACCAATCAACTGGAAGATGCAAAAATTATTTGTATACCTGTATTATAATGATAAAAAAAATTTAAACAGATAATAAAGATAAACAATGATTATTAAATATTTTAAAATTACCAGCTTCCCAGTTTTAGTTAGGCCAGAATTTCCACCAAGCTCTTGTTTTACATTGTAATCACATTCTCCGTGCTATGCAAAAATTAAATTTAAAAACATTTGCAAGAAAAATTTATTTTGAATTTAAATAAAAAATAAAATTTACAGCAGTTATATAGAGAGAACGCTTTTGTGTGTGAATATTCATGAGATAATAAACAACTTGACTGTGCAGGTAACCTAAAATTAAATTCATGTGAACATAAAGTATAAAAAATTAGACAGAAAACTGAAAAAAAAATAAAAATAAAAATCTCTTTACTTTCACAAAATAAAAACTTTTCAAACAGTTTTAAGACATGATCAAGTTACTAAACTTTGCAAAACCTGATCTTTAAACTTTTTTTTTATCATTGTACTTTTCTTTGCTAAGTAAATAAATAATAAAGTATAAAACTAATGATAAACTTTATTTTGATGTAAATTACCATTTGCATTGTTAATTAAAAACTGCTTGCCAGCGTTTATAGTTTTAATGTATGAAAATTTTCTAAAAAAACACAAAGCATAAAAAACCTCAATGTTAACTAACAAACAAATATAAAATTACATAATCTAAGTATTATATAAATAAAAAAAAAAGAATAACATTTTTTCCTTCTATTTTTTCAAGTGCAAAAAAGACGGATTTGGGCTAAAAATAAATCACTTAGAATTCAGAAGTATAGTAAATGAAAAAAAAAGAAAATCATAATTGCAATAGATTACTTATTTAGAGAACAAGATTGCTTATAATTTGATTGCTCATAAAGGTAACACAAATCCTTAAAAAAAAAAAAAATGGAGCCTCTTAGGCTTCGAAAAGAGAATGAAAGAAACATGACATAAATTTTTTTTATCAACATAGTGAACTTTAATTTGAATTTTATGGTGATGGTATTATTAATATATTTTTTAATTATTTAATAGTGTTTATTAAAAATTTCATAGTTCATATTCCTTAACATAATATTATTGTCAGTTATAATTATAGAAATTGATTTCATTAAATGTGTAAAAGAAAAAGTCTTGATTAAATGGTTTTGTAAATACAAAATCACATGAAGTAGAAAATAACCACACTAGCAATCAAAAACTATTATTTAAATATTGTAAAAGAATTGAGCGTTAGTCAAAAAGCTCATTTAATTGACCCACATAATTATGCAAACAGAATAACAAAAAATATTTGTCTTTTTGAATTTTTAAATGAAAAATGTATTGAACTTCCTACATTTATTTTTAATTTTAATTCAATACCAACAAAGCTGCAAGCAACCACTATTAGGTTTGGAGTTAATAGAAAACAACGAATAGATCAAGAAAGTAAGAAAAAAATTGACAAAAATTATAGGTTAATCCTAATGGTAAGGTTGTCAAAAAGATCATAAGTATAGATAAAAAACAAAATAGGACCAAGGATAGAACTTTGAAATAGCCTAAAAGTTAATGGAAATGAAGAAAAGTGATGGTCTTCAATGAAGACTTTAATAAAGCGGTTAGAAAGAAACAATTTGATAATGCCAAATACTTTTCCCAGATACACCATATGAAGCAAGCTTATTGAGAAGACTAGAAGACTTTTATAAAATCTATAGAACTTCAAAAATGTTTGATTTTGTATTTCGAAAAAGTAAAAAAGAAAAAAAAAAAATAATGATAATAAAGTGAAAGCCTAAGGATTTGAACCAGATTATTTGATAAACAAAAGTATAAAATCATATATATATGATATATATATATATATATATGATATATATATATATATATATATATATACATATATATATATATATATATATATATACATATATATTTATATATATATATATATATATATATACATATATATATATATATATATATATATATATACATATATATATATATATATATATATATATAAATATATATATATATATATATATATATATATATATATATATATATATATATATATACATACATATATATATATATATATATATATATATATATATATATATATATATATATATATATATATATATACATACATATATATATATATATATATATAATATATATATATATATATATATATATATATATATATATATATATATATATATATATATATATATATATATATATATATATATATATATATATATATATAGGCTCAATTTAACGGTCAGACATCGACGCCCCTTGAATTATTCTTAAGACCTGCTAAAAGAGGGCAATCAAAGATTGTTGATTTTTTCATTAAAAATGAATGATTGGTTGCCCCCATAAATCTGATCTGAAAATCAGTCTGTGGGGCAACAATGTCTGACCGTTAAATTGAGCCCTGATATATAATATATATATATATATATATATATATATATATATATATATATATATATATATATATATTATATATATATATATATACATATATATATATATATATATATATATATATATATATATATATATATATATATATATATATATATATATATATATATATATATACACACACACATATATATATATATATATATATATATATATATATATATATATATATATATACACACACACATATATATATATATATATATATATATATATATATATAGCGTGGAAAATAAGAAATCAAAGGCGAGTGACCGGCTAATACATAAAACTGACGGTCAAATTTTTTTTTTGGGCGGTCAAATTTTTTTTTTCTTTGTTAAAATTTTTATTTCAGTAATTATTCTTTATGACATGTAAATAAAATAAAGACTTGATTTAAAATTAACGAATGTATGTTTCTTTTCAGACAGTTTTTTGTAACTTAAAAATATATTTTTAAAGATACATTTTGTCTGATTCATAATCTAAAGTTTCTTCGGAAGACGATTTTAAATCTAAGGTTTTGTCTGATGACGATGTTTTTATATTTTTTTCTTTTTTTTTTTCGAATAAATTTTTGTGTTTTCTTATTTAGGCCTTCGCAACGCATCTTCGACCCATAACTCAATGGCAGGATTTACATCAAATTCGTCACTGTTTGTTTCATCTGTGCATATCTGAATTAAATTATTTAGCCGTTTTTCGGTTAATCGATTTCTTGTGTCAGATTTAATTCTATTCATAAGAGAAAAAAGACGCTCAACTTTTCCATTCAAAACAGGCAATACAAACAACAATTAAACAAGAAGAAGAACTGGACTCTTTTTTCATAGTACTCGAGAAAATTTGATACCATACTTTACGGTACTCAGTTTTATCTGGTGCCAAATATTTGACAGTATAATCAACTAAACTATGCCAAACATCTAACATATTGTTCACATTCTCAGTAACGCCAGCATAACTCTATGACATATTATAAAAGTCATACAATTTTTTCAATGTTATCATCTGCAAATGAATTATTTGTGTTATTTTGATACCAACCGCCAGTGTTTAGTATTAACGTTCTGTACATATCAGGAACTGTATTTTGTGCTTCCAAATGCTCTTCTATGGATTTAGTAACTAACACTACAATCATTGATTTCGAATTCTTAACTAGAGTTAGTACGTTTGTAAAATCATGAAGCTCAACATCCTGAAATGAATACTTTCCATTACTATTTGTTACTTTTGATAGGAAACGTTTGACTGTTGATAAATCATTAAACTCTTTTTTCTGCAAACTGCTTTTTAGTTTGTTTGATAAATCCAGAACTGCTACTGAATCAATTTCGTTGCTTTAAAAAGATAAAGATAACAATTTAGCTAGTGATAAAATTTCTATGAATAATGCTATATAAAGAGGTATTCGTCCATGATTCCACTTTTGACGGTACCCTTTAAACTTTGCTCTTTCTGCTTAGGTAAAACTGAAATCTGCAGCCATGTTTTTGAGATGTTTCATATATACTCCATATTTGTATAAGAGCATCTCAAGTGCTTGGACTTTATGTGCAATCCATCATGTTCCTATTTATTATTAAACAAATAACTTATACTTTTATAAAAAGTTTTTATTGCATAATATTTTACCGAATTCAATTTTTTTATTGATCGAAACACTTTTTTATAAATAACTTTTGTTGTTTAAAAAGACGAGCATGTAATGAAGTATTACTTTATAAAGCCTTTTTTATAGAATAAATTAAAATGAAATCCAATATACCTGATGCTTTTTTGGGGCGAATACCTACAATGTCAAATGCATTACCCTCTTCAAGAACAGCAACAAGCTTTCTTAACTGTCGTAACTTTTTGGGCGATTTTTTATAAATTGCATACATTTTTAAAATGATGTTATTGACACCATTAAACGCCTTTATTTTTTCCAAATTTATCTTTTAACGCTAACTCAAAGCGATGTGCAACACACCAACCGAAAGTTATTTATGGAATTTTCCTTCTGAAGTAATACATTGACACACCTATTTCCTCTATTTACAGATGCGCCATCAGCACCGAAACCAACTAATTTAGTTTTATAATTTTTGATACATTCTGTATCAAAAATAATAAAACTAATTAACATTATTTCATAGAAAAATCTTTTGAATTTGTTTTCATTTGAATTTATAAAAGTATTTACGACGACAGTCCTAAAACTAAATGCACAGCTAACGACAACTTTTTGACGTTAGCCGTAATACTTTTAAGTATTACAACTGGGTACGTATTACTATTGGGTCATTCCACGCCAAATGGTCCAATTTCCGAAATCTTTCCCGCTCGACCATCTCCGATTTTAATAAAATTTTGTCAGTATGTTGTTAAACATCTTTCATGATATTGCCAAATTTTTAGATCAAGATGTTTATTATTTTGGGTTTTATGGTACTTTTTGTAAGGCTTACCCAAACTTCAATATCAGTCTGTAGCTAAAAACTGCATTTTAGGGGTCTTATATTTTCATAATAAACGGATAAAATATCTTAAAAACGTGGTTTTTTTAGTAAACCGAAGGTGGAAATCACAAAAAAAATTAATAAAAAATTCATATTATGCCTTAATTTTAGTCAAATACCGTTACAAATACCGTTACAAATTCACCAAATACTGTTACAAATTCAACACCATAAGATTTTACTGTTTTTTGTAGGGTCATATCTCTAGAAAAAAAGATTTTTTAGTATTTTTATTTTGTCTAATGGTTCTATATACTATCATAATGATATGAATTAAAAATCAGCTTTTTTATAAACGCCTTTTTTGAGTTATTTTGAAAGCAAAACAGCGACAAAAGTAAAATACCCTAAAGTAACATGCGTTTGAAGCCCTACAAATCAATGTGGGAAAATTTATTTTATTTTTTTAATTGTTTTGTTAGAAAGAGCTTACTTCACACTTCTAGAAAAAATAAATACTGTTTTGAAGAGATTTTTTCCTATGAATTAAAAAAAGCTAGTTTTTATGAGCTAAGTTAGGTCTGCAATGTCTTTGATATTTTAAAAATGATATTAAGGTCCGTAAATTAACTTTAACCATGTAGAACTAATTTTTAAATAGTTATAAATAATTAAGTAATTATATTTAAAATTATATAAAAATATTATATAAAATAATTTTAAATTATATAAAAATATTATACAAAAACAATTAAGTAAGTTTATTTTTATTCTACGGACAAATCTCTCTAAACTAATTTTAAATATTTAAGTTTATCAAAAACATCTAATATTGTAAGACAAAAATTAGAATTGAAGTTAGAATAAGAGTTGTTTTAAATTTATCCTGACATGCCTGTTGAACAAAACTTAAGTACTTGTTGTATTGGAAATTTTGACAGAAGTTTTTGTCATTTAAGTACTTATTCACGAAAGAAGGGTTTTATTTATTTTTGCTCAGAACTTTCGAATGAAGAACAGAGTTTAATTATTAGGCGAACTTATATTTTGATTAAAAATATTACTTTAATTTGTTTCCACCACAAGTCACTGGTGTTGGTTAAATACACTCATTTGCAGCGCCTTGGATTGGCCATACCTTTCGGTATGGCCAATCATTGCTTAGTTAAAGGGTTGAAATATATTGACCTAGAGACTGCAGACTAGGGTTTGTCATACTTTTTTTTTTTTGAATTTTGACTCGCATAATTTAAAAAAGGGTGAGGTATAATATTACAAGTTCAGAACCGTCAACAAAAAACTGTAAAACTAGGTTGTTTTAGAATTAAAAATAAAACTTTCATGTAGATCCACAAAACATCTACTGGCACATTAAAATAAAGTACAATAAAGATTAATTCTTAAACATTGTCAAGCCAATAAGGTTTTGTTTAGATAGATTTCGTGACATCAACTTCTGCGACAACTCTTGTCCTTTAATCCAACCATCTCTTCTATCTTCTGTAAAAACATTTTCGCAAGCCTGGGTAACTTTTTTACATATCTTTCGACAGCTTTAGTGTGTTGAGTATTTTGAATATCGAGTGACTGATGTTGAAGCAACTTAAGCTGGTAAAGAACATGTTTTGGTCCTTCTGTCCAACTATATTAAACTTTGAGGTTAAACTAGACAGGAAAGTACACTCCTACAATAAACTCGACTAGTTTAAGAAGGTTTTGGGCTGCATTGCCTTGAAGACCATGATGAGATACCCAAATTCTACATATTCTATCAACTCAAAGCAAGTTGAATGCTTTGACCTAAAATGGGGGAATTCAAACAACCTCAAAAATTTAAATACGAATTTTCTTTTCGCCGGCATCAGTAATATAAACGTAATTGAAATATAAAAATTGTATTTTCATCACAGAGCGGCCTGGTGTGCTGCTCTTTCTTAATAATTTAAAATTTTATTGACTATGAATAAATTAAACTTAAAATAAGAAGAAAAAAAAGTCATTTGTTAAATGCATTTTGCAACAAAAAATTATGAGAAAAATAAATAGATGTAAAGTTGTAAAGATATAGAGAGAGCAAAAATAAATTTAGTAATAAAAAGTAAATTTAGCTAAAATCATCAATTATTGTACATTATTATTACAATAATAATAAAATAAGAACTTAAATCAGTTAAGAAAAAAAACACTCAATAAAATTGATCTCAATAACTGAAGCAAAAAAATTAATATATATAGTTTACGCCATATATAATACTCGTCGAAGCATTAGCGAGTATTAATAAACGATGACGAATTTCATGTTGCAGTGATGCGAATTTTAATTTGCTTTGTTCCAGCGAAGTGAATAAAAGCAATTTTATTAATTATTTCTACTTTAAAAAGTAGCTTTATTTCAGTAGCACCGTAAAACTTTATCAAAGTTTTACAGTGTTGATTTTTCTGATTTTTCTGACTCTGATTTTTCCACCGGTCAACCTTGACTGGCTAAAATTCTTTTTGGGAGGTCAAAACAGCAATTTCAGTCATTTCGGGCGGTCATTGACCGTTGACTGCCTGTTATTTTCCACACTGTACATATATATATATATATATATATATATATATATATATATATATATATATATATATATATATATATATATATATATATATATATATATATATATATATATATATATATATATATGAAGACCTCTGTAGTAAAATAGGCATTGTCATATTTTAAATGTTTAGAGAAAGTATTTATTGATCATTAATAAAGGTTTTTATTTAAAAAATTATATAGGTAAAATTTATACAAATTTTTTTTTTGATTAAAATTTAACTGATAAAAAATTTTATTTTCTGACCTTTAGCTTTCTTTGTTTTACTTAAAGGTTTTTATTAATAATCATTTAATACTTTCTCAGAACCTTTAATATGTGACAACACCGGTTTTACCACTGAGGTCTTCAAATATATATATATATATATATATATATATATATATATATATATATATATATATATATATATATATATATATATATATATACATATATATACATATATATATATATATATATATATATATATATATATATATTCTTATCAAATCTTATATATACTTTTCAATTTCATTCTGATCGCTTATGGTTTCATATTCATCTTTGTAATGCTTCATTCTTTTGTTAAAATCATTAACTCTTTCTTCATAGTTTGTTTCAACATAGTCAGGACTATATTCTTGTATATCCTAAAAATCACATCATTATTTTAAAAATAACATTTGCTCAATTAAATATTGCATTCTCAATTTAAAAAAACTATAGAAAACTGTAAAAGAAACAATGCAAGGATTGTAAAAATACTGAGAATATATGTACAACATATCATGACAAATGCAACATGCAGCACAACATGCAACTTCCCACATACCCTATTTAATAAATTTAGTGCAATTAAATTTAATAATTACAAATATTTTAACAATTACAATTATAAGTGCAACAAAATAATCTTAAATTTTCAAAAAATTAATATAAATTGGTTATGTGTCACTCATATAGTTACAAACTAGTCAATGGAGTGACACCTAAAAAACATAAAATTTTCTCGAAAAAAGAAATAAAAAAAAAAAGGAAAAACTCAACATCTGTATAAATAAATAAGAAAGAAAAGAAGAAAAGATTGTTAAACAAATAATAATGATATATGTAATAATAATAGTAATAATACAAAATAATAACAATAATAATAAAGTACCAATAATATAAGGAATATTATAATACAATATAAATTGAATGTACAAATTATAGATGATAATTAGATATAATAATAACATAAAATGTAACATTAATAACACAATAATAAATAAATATAAGAAAGGTAAATAATAAATAAAGTAAAAGTCAAACCACTTGTTCGTTAAAGAGATTATATATTGAAGACAACTACAGTACAGAGAGAAATTACAAAGAAATACACTTGATGTACAGATGTAATAAATTGATGTAAAGAAATACAACTGATGAATGAAAAACAAAAACATTTCAAGTAAATAGATCTTTATGAAACTAGATGTTTGCTCAAATGTCATTTATAATTTAAAAACTTGATATATATTATATATATATATATATATATATATATATATATATATATATATATATATATATATATATATATATATATTTATATGTATAACTATAAATATATGTTTAAGTAAGCAGGGTGACATTTTGTTGAAATAGCTTGCCGCCAGAGGCTTCAGTACATACATTAACTACCTTATAGCCTGCTGTCTCAAGGAGAACTGCTACAATGACTAGGGCTTGGCAGCATTGACTGAGGCTGGGGCAGCAATCTTTTCTTTAATTGTAAAACATAAAGATCAGCAAAACAAGTAAGCAATTGTTGATTTATATATATATATATATATATATATATATATATATATATATATATATATATATATATAGCGCTTTCTAAGCATAGGCTAGAACAAATGTACTTGCTTTCTATCTATGAATGAGTTAAATTCTTTTTAAAGTTAAATCCAAAGTAACCAAAAATAATAAACATAAAAAACCATCAGCACCATCTATCTGTTTTAATAGATTTTTCACAAATAATTGTGGGCTCAGAAGCAACTTTCCATTAGTTAATCTTACCTTTTGCAAAATTCGATGGATCTGCTTGTTCTTAAGGACACAAAGTTAAATTTGGCTTTTCTTTTTTCAGATCTCTGTATTGATGGGTACTACCCCTTGATTCACAACATTCTTTTGAGAACATTCATTTAGCTCCTCTACACTCTATTATCTTTCTCTTCGTTCCTTATAGTTCTCCTTTTTTCAAGATAACACTCTTTAAGATATAATTTTTGATTAAATTGACAATCCTCTTTCTCTTTAACCCTTCTCCAACATTATTAATATTTTTGGTGTTTTTTTTTTTAATATTATCTTCACTTGCAACAAAACTGCAAACAATTACTATTAGAGTAAGATCATATTTGCTTCCAAGCAATTAGAGAATTTTGCCTTCTTATCAAGACAAGTAAAAATAATAGCATCATCAGCAAACAACCTAACCTTAGATGTGAGAATTTCAGGGAGATCATTGATGTAAATTAAAAAAATTATAAGACTAAAGATCCAACCTTAAGAACCTCCAAAAGTTACAGGAAATGAATAAGAGTATCTAATGCATGATAAAACGTCGAAAAGAGTATCTAATGCATGATAAAACGTTGAAAAGAGTATCTAATGCATGATAAAACGTTGAAAAGAGTATCTAATGCATAAAAAAACGTCGAAAAGAGTATCTAATGCATGATAAAACGTCGAAAAGACATTTATCTAATGCATGATAAAATGGTTATTACCTTAAATCAGCAGTAGAGCAAGAAGATTGAAATTCATATCAATAATCAGTAAGTAAGTTATTAGATTCAAGATGAGAGAATAAGTGCTTTTAAATTAAAGATTCAAAACCTTTGCTCATGATAGGTAGAAGACAAATAGAACAGTGGTAAGATGAGTCAGGGAATACTCTCCTTTTTTTGAAAATAGGTATAACAGATGCCACTTTCCAGCAGGCTGGAAAACAAGAGTCTGATAAGCACTTATTTAACAGTTTTGAAAGTATAGATAACAGCTCCAGGAAACACTTCTGTAAGACTAAAACAGGTATGTTGGCTAAGCTACAAGCTATAGAAGAGTCTAAGCAGGAAATCACTTTATATGCTGAAGCTGGAGTGATAAGAATGTCAAGCAATGGACCAACCTGTTTGTCCGCTTTTTCAGGTAAGATGCAATAAGAGAAAACAAGAAATAAAATTGATGAAAAGTTCATAGCGAATAATTCAGCTTTGTTTTTAGGTGAGGTAACAAAATCTGAACCATGCAAGAGAGGTGGATTACAGAAAGGGTCCCAGTTAGCGTTAAGGTAGTTGGAAGAAGTACAATGATAGGGCGATTCTGATGATGAAGACGAATGAAATAATAGTTTTAGAGAGATCAAACCATGATCCGAAGTAATTAAACGTGAATGTGGAGAAACTGAGCACTGATTAGGATCAGAAACAATACATAAGTTAAGTAGAGAAGGTAAATGATTCGATTTGTCTAGAAAGTAAGTTAGAAAGTTTACTATTTGTGTTAGAGATTGAGAAAGCTAAAAGTTGTTTTCCTAAAACAATTTTTTTTTCTAAAGTTGTACGTAAACTATTAAAGGGATCCCAAACTCCCAACACATGTTGCATTCATATTAAAGATAATGTTAAAAAAAAGGTTTGAACATAATTTTTTTGATTAAAAATAAATAATGAATGCATACCGTGAAAAACAAATGTTGTTGTTTTTGCCGAAGCTCGCCTTCTCCACTTTTTTCAACTAAACTTTAAATTATGTGTTGCAATCTACAATTTTTCATCATAATAATAATAATTCAATTCAATATATTCTAAAATAAGTTGTAAAATTTCAAGGACTTTTACAAATAGTACAAGTACTAATCTAAAGTAAAAACCTACAACATTACAATAAAAGTACAATAGTAAAAATAATAAAAAGTACAAAAAAAAAACAATAATAATAGTATTGATAATAATTATAGAAATAATATTAACAATAATAATAAGATGACGATGAAAAGGAATATTATTAGTAATAATACTAACAATAATAATAAAGATATTATACAATCAATATTAGATAATAGCAATAATAGTGGTAATAACAATTACATAGTATAAGTAGTAAATAAACTTAAGAAAAAATTAAAAAAGCAATAATACTTATTATGTCATAAATAAAAATAACAATTTACTAATAAAGATAGAAGAATATTATTAATATCTATTAATATTAACAGATCGTAGATGATAGCGACAGCTTTCTCTAACAATAAAAAAATTTGTAAATGTGCTGGGTAGACATTTTTGTTTATAATTAAAGACAAAATGGCAATTTAATAGTTGAACTAGATCATCAATTTTGAGTATTTTGGATAAAAAATAAAGATGATCGGAGTTAGATTGATAATGCTGAAAATATATTATTTTTAATGCTTTGTTCTGTAAGTTGGATAATCTTAAAATTTTTTGGGTGCGGATTTGTCCCCAAACTTGACACGCATACCTAAGATGTGATCCAAAAATGGCATGGTATATATTATGGTATATACAGACTTTGGCAATTCCTTTGAAGTGCGTTTAATTCATAAAAGTTTTAGTAATTGACGTCAAGGTAGACTTTTAACAAAAGAAAAGTGTAATTAAACTAAGCTGCGTTTTAAATTTATAATAAAATTTATAGAAAAATAATACAAATAAATTTATTTTGCGTTTTGCAAAATAAATTTATTTGTATTATTTTTCTAAACATCGCCAAAAAAAAATTTGTAAAAAGAAAAAATAATAAATTATTTTTATTTTATAGGAGCAACTTGTTTTTTACAGATATCTTAATAATTTTTCGACTTATATATCTTACTTATATTTCTTTTGTTTTTACTTACCAATCTTATGATTTTCTTACGAGTATTTTACATTAATAAGAACATTATATATACGGTCTCTCGTTTTTGTGCAAGAGAGCGCAGTATTATATATTCTAAATCTTACATTAAACAATTGAAACTATTTTCTAACTTCTCTGGTCATTTTTACGCTATGAAGTTTTTTGTTTTTCCGTCGAAAAAAAGTAATTACAAGCAATTGCTTTCATTTAATTAGATATATTTGATATACTGTTAAATTTTTTTATTATAAAAATTTTTTGATTACATTGATTAAATTTAAATTGCTGAGTTTGCTAAATTAGATATGGATAAAAAAAAATCATTTCATTTTGCATTTGATTTTTGATAACGAAACTTTTGAAATGTCGGCAACTCCATACCAATTAGAACCTGTTAAGGTTATGAAAAAAAAGAACAAGAATACACCAAACAATACAGTTGTCAGTAGTATCAGATATGAAAGTTTTAATGTTGTTATGGCTAATGCGTCAAAAATATATAACAGCAATAACAGCACAAGCCGGCATTATGAATTTTAAATAATAATTTTACTGTTCAATACTTTATAACCATCAAATTGAAAACATGAAGTACGTATATTTTTGCCCGTTTTATACAATTAACATTTAACAAAAATACAGACAAATTATTATTAATTAACGCAATAATGACCACATTAATTAATGGCAACAACTCAAGACGGATAGTAATTTAAATTGTTAAAATATCGCAACGCGCGTTAAAAAACATTTTATTTAGTATTTCTCAATTTATGTGCTGTAATTTGTGAAAACACCTAATGAAAATTTTACTAAACAATAGACGATGTGACATCTGACTTTCTCGCGCAAAATTCGGATAGTTCTGAATGTCACACAATAAAATTTTGTTTTTACTCTAACATATTTTACATACTATAGGAACAAATACGTTCCTAGGGCTTTTTCTGATCTTAGAATAAGATCAGAAAAAGCTTTTTATTTATTGCTAAGTCGTTCTAAATAATAAGTAAATATAGTTAAAGTTAATATTTTAATAATTACAGTTGCAATATAACAAAAAAAAGATGTTTAATGTTGAACTTTTTATTTAGTTATTTATTTTTTACCTACTTTTGTTATAAAAAGACTTTAGTACCCCCGTCATTTAAATAATTTGTTTTAAATATATTTCAACGTGATTATTCAAATAAATTTTTTTTGTTTGACTTCCCCAAGCAAATTGAGACAAAATATCGTCTAACCAAATAAAAATGTTGTTACTAATTTTAAGGGTAATTAATATAAAACATTTATCAGAGTCTTATAATTGAGATAATAATTTTATACGGGTAATTAATGTAAAACATTTTTTTATCAGAGTCTTGATTGAGATAATAAATATTCATTATTTATAAACATTAAATATATGGCACAATAACAATTTATAGCAACGAACCAGCATAAAATACTTAAGGTTTTTAATATCTTTTTAAATATTAAAAGTAGCATAAAAAAAAACTAAACAAATAACCAAAAAAACTTTGACTAAAAATAAATAAAAATATTTCCAGAGTTTCTTTTGTTAAAAGTCTGCCGTGACGTCAAATACTAAAACTTTTATGAATTAAACGCGCTTCAAAGGAATTGCCAAAGTCTGTAGATTGCGACGCATAATTTGAAGACTCCGAGTAGTTGAAAAAAATGGAGAAGACGAGCTTCGGCAAAAACAACAACATTTATTTTTCACCGTATGCATTCATTATTTATTTTTAATCAAAAAAATTTGGTTCAAACCTTTTTTTTTAACATTATCTTTAATATGAACACAACATCTGTTGGGAGTTTGGGATCCCTTTAAAAGTGTTGAAAGTTTACTAACACTAGAGCCTAGCCATTCAGTGTGATGAGCATTAAATAGTATCTAATAAAAGGTGTCTTCCTTATTCCCAAATTTTTACAGCCGATATAGATTCTTGAAAAAAATGAAACAAAATTTTACATTCCACAACCGATATTAAGACATTTAGAAACCATATTAAACTTTTTAAGTAGGTAGAAACCTTTTTTTGATGTTTGTACTATATTGTGATTCATTTTGTTGTCCCAAAAAATATCAAGAATGTTAAAGCTTCTTCATTTATAATGTTCTCCAAATTAGATAACCTTGAGGTTTGAGATAACCTTGAGCCATTGTAATTTAACTTTTATACTTTTTTCGTTATTAAATATCATTATGTTTGTTTTTTCAGGATGAAGTGATAATCCATTTGCTAAAAACCAAATACTAATCCCCTGAAACATATTTCTTATAACTGTTCAATGGAGTCAGTCTTTTCAACCATTGTTGTATTGTCAGACAGACATATTGTAAGACAGTGTCAAATTCTGTTGCACCTAGTAGGTCATAAATATTAATTTTAAAAAGTAATTGATTCATACGTTCCTTGACCAACACCCAACTTCACTACATTTTCTATGAAAGAGTAGAGTTTAGAATTTCAACTAACAACAAACTGCCTTCTGTTTGTTTTATTTGAAGAGATTCATTTAGAAGTTTTTTCATCTGCACCTATATCAAATTATACCAAATTATATTAAATATAAAGTTTTGATTAGCATATTACATTTTAAATAAATTTTAAAAGCTTTTATTCCTCAGTTAAATCAAGCACTGGTTAGTGTCAGGGTTAGGGTTAATGGCAGTAAGATCATTAGTGTTTTCCTTTTAAATAATATTATTATTTATCTTGCAGAACAGATATTTTACGGAAAAATCTTGATTGTTTAAACTAATATCTGATTGACAGTAACTTCTTGGAAAGTACCTTAACTACATTGAGTGGTTCTTTTGTTTTACCAAAATAATTATATTAGTTTGATAATGGCTCTCGCTATATGAGCTGAAATAACAAGAAAAAAAAGAAATAGTGTGATGTTTTAATTGCTTTATGAGTATATATATATATATATATATATATATATATATATATATATATATATATATATATATATATATATATATATATATATATATATATATATATATATATATATATATATATATATATATATATATATATGTATATATATATATATATATATATATATATATATATATATATATATATATATATATATATATATATATATATATATATATATATATGTATATATATATATATATATATATATATACATATATATATATATATATATATATATATATATATATATATATATATATATATATATATATATATATATTTATATACATATATTATATAAATAATGTATATAAAATTAAACCTTCACAAAACTATCAATAATATCTTCATCATTGAAAACAGATTCAATGAAAAATGGCTGAAAAAGAAAAATAATAACTTTTTTAATATCTAAGATAAAAATTATTTTCTTAAAACATATAAAAAATGAAAATTATGGATTACTTTAATGCTATGTTCAATGCAAAATGAATACACTGATTCTCTTCGGCTTCTTGTTGTGTTTGATGCATCAAATATCTAGATATAAGTTTGTATATGAAACAGCAGTTAATAATACAGAATTCACACAAAAACTACACCTGCAATATAAAAAAATATACTAATAAATAATATAAATACACCTACAGAAATAATGCAATTTATTGGTTCAGTGATTTGACATGCTTAAACTTTTTTTTTACCCTTAAAATTATACATTTTTTTCATTTAAAAATACTTACAATAACCAGATCTTACAATAGTGAATTCATAACTTTGAGATGATTATGAAAATCTTATCAAGAAGCACTTTACAATATGGTTAGTTTAAAAAAAATTACTATTTTTATAGTGAACTAATAACAATCCGACATTTAAAATTTTGAAAACTTAATAAAATAAATTGTTAAATAAAAAAATATAGAAAAACAATTAAAAGATAAATAAATTATTTATCTCAAAATTTTGTTTATTCAAGTTTTTTTGAAAAAAAATAAAAATTTTCTAATAATATTTTGTTCAAGTGATTATAGCCTAATTATATCCTAACAAAAAACACTAATTATACCCCGATAAAAAACACTGATAATACCGCTGATTATAAAACATAAAAATATTAAAAACATTTAGTTGATATACATTAAAAATCCTGTTTTTCTAACCCGTGCATACTTTAAATGCAAAAGCTACCTGCTCCTTGTTGAAAAATTAAAATTTTATTTTATCAGTGCTTTCCAATATAGTATTTGCTATATGACACATATTTGCTTCATTACACATTTTGTATAACTCTTTGACACTCTTTGTATAAATGATTAAATTTTGATAATTGATATTTGCTTAATTAATATACTTCTTGTTTTGAAAAGAATTCCAATGAGCTTCTAGTGGAGATCAATTCCTTCAAGATTTTTATCAATTTTTTTTATTTGAAACTTTCTTAATAGTTTTTTTAAATTAAATATTAGTCAAAAGGTCTGGTATGATATGTGGCAAAATTTAAAATTTTTTTAAAGGTCAAAAAGTGCCTATTTAGTTTTTTTTTGTGTTAAAAGATTATACTTAAAACAAACAGAATTTTTTTTCAATTTATTTATCATATTAGTGCAAATCATTATTTATATATTTTACATATAAAACATATTTATATTTACATGAAAAGCATAACAATATTTACACTAATACGATATCTTGGAAACCAAATATTAATTCCATTTCAAAACTAGCATCAGCTAAAGTTGCATCTGTTTCTTGTGCTTGCAACTTTCTTACACTTTTCTTTCTATTCTCTCAATAATTATTTCTATATTAGTATATAGAGATCACTACATTACTATATTAGTATCACTATATTTGTATATAATATTAGTATTATCCCTTTAAATATCAAATCTGTCCTTGAATGGAATATTGTTGTCATATATGGAGCAGATCTTCAAATGATGCCTTTTCTCTCTTAAAAAAAACACATTGCTAACATAGTCAGACCTGCTCTTGCAGCCAACCTTCAACCATTGTTACATTGTAATGTTGGTTTTCTTTCTTTTTGGTATAAATACTATAATGGGCGCTGCTCTAAAGACCTAGCATCTCTTGTGCCGTTTACTAAAATTCATTCTCTAGTTACTTGTTATTCAAATAAGTCTCATCCTTTTTTTGTGAGTGTTCCTAAGTGCTTCAAAAACTATTATTTGTCTATTTTTTTTTATCTCAAACATCAGTTTATTGGAATTCACTCCTTCATTGTGTTTTCCTGTTTCATATAATTTGCAATCTTAATCTTGAGTTAATTGTAATTAATTATCGTTGCTTTATAAACTTCATCTTTTCTCTTCTAGTCACTTCCAACTCTAATAGTGGTTGCTTAAAGCCTTGTTGGGAGTGAAGATGAAAAAAAAAAATAGTGGTCAGGGTTGGCTGATTTAAATCTTATATTCATTTAATAATTTAATTATAATTTATATAAATTTTCTATACTTGATTTAAATAAGAAAAATCATTAAAATTTTTTTCAAGTATAACAGTTTGATATATTTATTGAATGTTATTGACAAAAATTACCCAGAATTCACATTTTCATATGATAAACAATATTTTTTTAATTATTATGATTAAAATTTTATAAAAATATATAATTTTTATTATTAATTTTTTACAGACCTTTTTTAAAAAGATTAAAGTGCAAAGTCAGAAAAATATGACAGGGGAAAAAAAAAAAATATCAAGAGATTAATCTAAAATCCAAATCTAATTAATATTAAATTAATATGTTTTGTTAGCAGCTGCAACAAAAGTAACAAAAAAGACATTACACATTATAAAAAAAACATCATTGATATCACAAAAAAAAAATAAAAAAAAAATCAAACGTTCAAAATTGTTCTAATCAAAAAGTAAAACTAGACATAAAAATCAATTTAAAAAATAATTTTATTTAGGGGTAAAGATTGCTTTTCAAACAAATATATATTTTTTTCATGGTAATTTTAAATAGGTTTTCAGTTATATAACTTAAAACATTTTGAAATTACATTGATGCAACTGCTTCCATGGACCATGTATTTTCCTAATTCTATTCTACAAATATTGTTTTTAGTTTTTTGTATATGTCAACTGCACAAAGCATAAGCTTTAACTTCTGCAATATTGCAGCATGTCTACAGCATGTCTACAGCATGTCTACAGCATGTCTACAGTATGTCTACAGCATGTATACAGTATGTCTACATCATGTATACAGTATGTATACAGCATGTATACAGCATGGGTTCCTTTTGTCCATTACGACAAATCAATGCATAGGTGATTGAATAAAGCAAATTATTCCTCTAAATTGCAAAAAAGTGATACTTTTTACAAAGTAATTAATAACTGAATTGATAATTGTAATAAAAGTTTTTTTTATGATATCTGCACTAATGACATCTTGCTAAAGTTTACAATTTTTGTTATTCTAGAGGTGTTTAAATCTTTCTATTACACCTACCATCTTTTTTTTTAGCTTTAAATTTCCATATTTTAGCTTCTTTTAATTTACTTAACTGAAACAGTAGCCTTTTTATGATACTCTGAAACAGGATATTCCACATCAGACTCTTCAGTAACATAACTTCTCAAACCTGTTTAAAGTGTACAGTAAACTAGTTAAAAGTATATAGGAAAACAGTTAAATGCTTGCAATTCAATAACGTTTTGTGAATGTTACTTAATTAAAAATTAAATAGTAATAAAGAATAACAACTCGCCATATAAATAATTCTTCCAAATTAAAGTATTATAGGTTTTCTGTTTTAGTAAAAGACCACCTTACTAAATATGTAAGGGTATTATCTAAAAGAAAGCAAACATTTACTAAAACAATGAGGATTCGTTTTGCATTGTAAATTGTATTATGATTCGGCATTGTAAAATGATTCAAAATTGTAAAAGAGGAGTTTTTAACATTAAAAAGAATAAAAAGAGATTGGAAAAAAATGAAGAAAATGAAAATCAAATAAAGGAAAATCAGATAATATTTTAAAAATAGAAGATAAAAAAAACAACAACAACAAAGTAAAGACAAGGTCAAACAATTTAAATAAATAAAAAGATTAAATTAAAAAATAAACTGGAAAAAAATAACTACTCTAAATAAAATACAAATTTAAAAGCAAAAAAAAAAAAAGTTAAAAAATGAAAAAAATAATAGTAAAAAAGAAATACAAAATTTACTATATGAAAAAAAAGAACAAAAAAAGGCAACTTTTTTATTTAATTTTTTTATAGTCATGTCTTTTTGTGTATTTTTTAAAAGGTCCTATATTTTTTAGGTTCATTTATTATTATTATTTTTTTTTTTTGCACTCTTTGAATTGTCTATGTATTGCTCAATGGGCATAACCGTGCACTGTTTATTTTACAGTGTTATCTATTTTTCATACTGTCATATTTTTTTTTTTTTTTTAATTTTAATTTACCTCCTTAAGGCCAAGAAGGCCACTACAGACGAGGAGGCTACTTATTTGTGGTAATAACCCTCTCTCAACTCTATAACTCCGAAACACGAACCTTGACGAGCAAGGCCGCTGCGCAGAGAAACGAGTTGAGCGCGGTACTACCAGGGACGTGGTGGGGATCGAACTCAGAACCACTCGTTTATGAAGCAAGCGCTCTACCACTACACCACTACCGCATATGTTTTTAAGGTATTATTGTGAATTGCTCAATGGGCATTGTTGTGTACTGCTCTTATTGTCATGAATTGTTGTGCATTGTTTTTATTGTCCTATTTTTTTTTTAACTTGTTTTTAATGTTGGTAAAAAAAATTTTAAAGTTGTATATGTTTTTTAAAATATATACCTTTGTTTGTATTGCATATTGTATACACATGTATGTATTCTGTATGTACATGTATATTTTCTGTATGCATATGTATATGTGTATGTATGTGTATACGTATACATGTGTATATGTGTACATGTATGTTTGCATATTTTTAGCTGTTGCCTTAACTATTTACAGGGTTATTCATTTTTATTTGCGCGTTTACTCATTCTTATATGCGTATTTACTCATTCTTATATGCCTTTTAAAAAAGCACAGTTTTTTCAAAATAAATTATTTTGAAAATACATGAATTAAGATGAAGACCTTTTACATTCGATGAAGAATACAAAAATACATGAATTAAGATGAAGACCTTTTACATTTGATGAAGAATATGATAAGTGTTTCCACTTCTCTTAATTTATCCAAGCGCACTGTTCAAATTCTTGTCGTTATGTTAAACAAAGGAGAATTTGACAACATGACTTCATTTAAGTCGTTTTCTGATAATAAAAAAAAGAGGTAAAAGACCAATAAACAATAAAATAAAAAATATTATTGAATTATGCGTACAAGAAAACAATCTTTGTGTGCAAGAAGCAATAAAAGGAAATCTTTCAGCAGCAGGTTTCAACATGTCTCAGCTATTTCAAGAAAACTCAAGTGCTCTGATTTTTTTAAAAAGCGTATAGTGAATGTGCCAGAAGAACAAAACTCAACATGAGTTATTGATGCACGCTATGCATTTGCAAGTGAAATTAACTGAATTTTAAATGAAAAATTTATTTATTTGTATTTAATGTGCACACAAACTCATATGGTTATTTGCAAAGAGGTGTGCCAGCAATTTTACAGTCCTCTGGAGTTTTTCTGTTAGGCAAACACTAGCCTCTAATGGCATAGCTGTTAGGTATTTGCCAGCATACTTAAACTTATTTACCACAACTTAATCCAAAAGAATAATTTTCTTCTTCTTGAAAGCATACTTACAAACAGGAAGACAGGCCTCAAAATACAGATGGGGTAATCAGGAAACAAAAAAATATTATGGATACAACCATATGCATAATTAAATAAATCAAGCACTGGCTTGGCAACCATTTTTTAAATAAACAGCAGTGGCAATAACCTGAGTTATATTTTGAATATACCTACATAAAAACATAAAAGCCTATTTATTGTTTATATAAAATTATATTAGAGATTTTATGGTTAGTTGACTCACGTATAAACGCGCATATAAGAATGAATAAATACATATATATATGAATGAATAAACATGCATATTAAAATGAATAGGCACGCATATAAGAATAAATATGTTACTGCATATTTATTAATATGTAAATAATTTTAAAAAGTTTCCTGTACCCCACAAGTTCCCTATGGACCCTGCAGATCACTGATTTGCAGATAAAAAACAAATGAACATAGTTCATATGTTTTTGAAGTGCATAGTTCATATTCTTTGTTCTCTCAAAATGAAAAACTGAGACATCACAGTTTTCTGCTTGCGCCCATATTTTATTATACTAAACTGATAAAATTTTAATTATATCTTACAATATTTATGGGATTATGAGATATTTATGGGATATCTCAAAAACAATCCTTTTTTTGGTCAAAAAAATAAATAAAACTTTTGGTTTTTATTAGTTTTTTTTTAACAAATTATTTTTTTGTATATTTAACAAACTGAAATAACTTAAATTGAAAATTTAAACAAAATTTTCAATTTAATTTTTAAATTTTTGATGATATTTTAACAATAGATTTATTTTCATTCTTTTATTTAACATACCGTTTTATCAGTATTGTTTTATAAGTTCTTTATACAAATGTTTTGAACTAGTTGCTATGGAGCCAGAATCTTAAAACCATTAGCTTCATCAGCACTTAATCTAAGTGGTCAAAAAAATGTGCCCAATTAATTTCCAAAGAATTTAAATTTAACAATGTGATTCAATCTATAGCCAATAAATATCACAACATGTCTTGTTTTTACAATTTGTTAAAAAAGTAATTTTACAAATTGTTGACCTATATTGACAGCTAACACAATTGACATAGTAAAACAACTGTTCTTTTGTTTCATTGTGAAAATCTGAAATATATTTGGAAACTCTTAGATTTAAAAAAAATTGATTTAAAAAAAACTTACTCAAGCTTTGTTAAGAACTTATACTGCAGCTAATTTATATATAAGTTTACATATAAATCCAATACTGTATGCATTGAGAAATCTTAACATAAAATTTCTGTCAAAATAACAAATAATAATAAATTTTAATCAAATTATCATTAAAAAAAAATAATTGAGGTCAACTGGTATAACAGACAAAATTTTTACAATAAAAAACTGTCATGGCAATTTACATCTTAAAAAAAGAAAATTAGTTTGCAAACTTAATTGTGTCACACGTAAAAAAACATCCCATCTATTAAGAAAATTGTAGTTTATCTCAATAAATATAATTTATACAGTAGTTGTGCATACTTTTTATGCGTATGTTAGTCAAACAAATAAAACATATTAGAACACATCAAACATAATAACTCTTACATTTTTCAACATTAAGTGTCTCATAATAATGGCCTGTTAAATTTCATGTGGAAATATTTTAGCCACAAGCAACAAATATTCAATTAGAACATTTAAAATCTTTTCACTTTTTCAAAGTGAAAACATTTTTAAAGTGAAAACATCTCAAAGTAGAATATTCAAGAAATATCATCGAAACCATTAGTCATTAAAGTTTAAAAAAATTGTCAAGGTTTTGTAAGCAAAATTTTCAAACAATTATCAAGTTTAATTATTATTTAACTACTGTCAAGTAATTATAATAATTATGTTTACTGTCAAGTAGTTAAGTAGTTATAATAAATATTGTAGAGATTCATAATTTTTGTTTAAATATATATTTATTTTTGTTTAAATATATATTTAGATAATTAAAATTTAATTTACCTAACCTTGTTTAAAATTAAGCTGAAGATCATTGCAACTTGAAAAAGTTTAACTTTTCTTTGTCAAAAGAAAAGTTAAACTTTTCTTTTGACAAAGAAAAGACCCAAAGAAAACATTAAAGGCAAATGTAGGACCTCCTTATATGAGATACTGAATAATAACCATGTCTATGGAAGTACTGCACTTGACTTAATATAGTTTAAGACTTGTTTATCAAGGTTTGTGAAAGTTATAGAGCTGAGAGAAAAATATGGCATTAATTATAAACAATTAAGGAAAAATTGACACGCTTGGGTTTTGGCAGGTAAATGTTTCAAAAAAAATAGTTATTTTACCACAACTTTATTTTCAGGTTTTTCTTCCATCCATGCTGCTCCATCCTCTAATGCATTCCAATAACATTGTCTAGAAAATATAAAAATGTATTTCAAGAAAAACTGTTTAGTGAACAAAAAATCTATTTCAAGAAACACAGCTTAGTGAACAAAAAAACCATCTCACTATAACTGTAAAAATATACACTCTAATAACACTAATTGAAAAATAAAAACGCATTATTAAAACTGATTATTTAATTAAAGCTAATTTTTTTATTTTTATTCTGATTTACTCCCAGCAAGGCTGCAAGCAACCACAATTAAATTGGAAGTTACTGAAACAAGAGAATAGAGTTATAGAGCAAGGAAACAGTAGAGTTATAGAGCAAGGAAACGGACTTCAAAAGTTAAAGGTTGTTTGAATCAGGAAAATATAAAGATGGGATAGAGTTCCAAAGGATTGAGATGCGGGGAAAAAACTAGACAAATAAAGGTTTTTAGACATGCAGGGACAGAGACAGTAAAAGAATAAGACTTAGCTGAATGACAAGTCAAGCGAGAATGAGTTTTAGTTGATGGAACTAGAGATGATAGCTCCTTTTAACAGCAACCATGATAGTATTTGAAGAAAAGAGAAAGATATACAACTTTACGACAATGAGAAAGAAGCTTAACCTTAGCAGATACAGCGGGTCCAACTACATTTAAAATGTAATTTTGGACCTTGCCTAGAAAAAAAAAGAACGTTATTAGAAGAATCAGCCCAAATATGACAACAGTATAATAGTTTAATTTAGTGACAAATAAGAGATTTGTAGAAATGGAATCAGGGGAGAGAAACTGACAACTACGATAAAAAGAAGCAACCTTAGCAAATGTTAATTTACCAATCAATGTCAAGTAAGGATAATAAAGTTGAGTTATCAGCAAAAAGAGCTACTTTAGATGTAAGGTTGTTAGGAGGATTATTAATGTTGATAAGAAACAAAACAGGTCCAAAAATAGAGCCATGAGGTACCCCAGAAGATATTTATAATAAAGTGGTTAGAAAGAAACAATTTGATAATCTCAAAAACTTTTCTAGATACACCATATAAAACAAGCTTATGGAGAAGACCAAACAGTGTGCCAAACAGCTGTTTTTACAGACATTTTGAACTTTTGAACGGAATATGCTACAGGGTTGATTAAGAACTTTTTGGAAAGGTTTTTATGTGTAAATTTTGGAAAAATAATTTTGCTTTAGGATATTTAGGTCATAATTTTTATTGGTTATAACAAAAATGCGAATAAATGTTTATAAATATGTATGTACATTTTGTAATACAAAGATAACAAAGGTACATCAATGACAAAAACTATAAAAATTATCAAAAGAAGTACTAAAATTAGTAATTCATATGTTAACATTTTAAAATGTCATCTTCATTTTAAACATTTTAAAATGTTATCTTCAGATAAAATATTACTAGAGAATTGTTTATGACAATATTCATCAATTTATAACTTTCAAACCACTTTCCTTATTATTTGCAATGTGCAATAATCAAATCCCTGATTAATTTTTTATGCAATAGTTCTCCAGCTATAAAACCTGTTGTTGTTTTTCTTTTTCCAATTGTATCAGGATAGTCCCATTTTATACCTGTTTTTTTTTTTAATATCTCTGTTTGTAATGAAATCTCTGCTTGCTTCAGAAATCTATTTGAAGCACTGAAAGGGGACTCAGACCAAAAACACCAATTTTCACATGTAGAACAGTCTTCATGAAATGGTAAAATGTACCCAGTAAAGCATAAAGAAACTATAAAAATTAATTTAAAAAATCAGTAAGTTTTAAATGTGATTTTAATACTATGTATAATCACATATTAAGAATATAGAATAATATGATATTACAAATAATATTACAAAATAACAATTTACTTGTATTAGTTTTACATTACAGGTTGGAATTGGTTTGAAGGTTTGTCCTATCCTTGTGATATAATCAGGGTTTTTCTAAGTAAAAGACTGTCTTCTTGTTCAAGTTGGTATTTATTTAATATTTCATTCCTAATTATAGTTTCTCGATAAACTACAAAACCATTTTCAATTCTTTCAATATTTAAACGCAGATCTTTCAACCACTATTACATTTAATTGTTTTCCCTCTCTATACATAGAAAACCTTTATTTTTTAACACTTTAATGTCAGAAAAAAAGACAGACAATGATTGAAGAGTTTCTCTTGTTTCTTTTCCTATTTGAGGACTCACAACTTTGTGAGTCAATTGGCCATTTGGTGACTTTTGCAACCATATTAAGAAACCTGCTTCTGTTTCAAGTGAAAATGGCATTGCATGGCTTCCACTAATATCAAATCTAAACTTTATTATCATTAGTATATTTTCAATGTTTATATCTAAAATAAAGTTCTCCAATATCCTTTGCATTGTCAGTTTAATAGCTGAAAATATACTAAAGTAAAACCAAAATTAGGTTTAAGATAATTCATAATAATTAGTGTTTTTTCAGATTTTTTTCTTTGAGATTTTTCCAACTAAGCAATTTATTAAAAATAGCAGTTCAAAAAGTTTCTCCATGTTAATACTTCAATATTCTCCATGATAATACTTCAATATTCTCCATGTTAATACTTCAATATTCTCCATGTTAATACTTCAATATTCTCCATGTTAATACTTCAATATTCTCCATGTTAATACTTCATTATTCTCCATGTTAATACTTCAATATTCTCCATGTTAATACTTCAATATTCTCCATGTTAATACAAGTTTTAAATAAATAATAAAAGCAATTTATTAAAACTTCAAAAAGTTTTTGGTTTGAATGTATAACCAAAAGCACAATTTGTTTAAGTTTTATTTTAGTTTAGTTTAAGTTTTATTAGAACCTCATTAAAAGAGTTATTCTTTGAGATTTTTCCAACTAAGCAATTTATAAAAACTAGCAGTTCAAAAAGTTTTTGGTTTTTATAAGAATGTATAACCAAAAGCACAATTTGTTTAAGTTTTATTAGAACCTCATTAAAAGAGTTATTTAACATACTTTTCAAGTAAGGTTTCTTTACCAGCCTTGAATTGTATGCCAGCATAGCCCATTATTTTGTGCAGATCTTTGCCAGCTATTCTAAACTAATGTTTTTTGTGCAAAATGTCAAGTGCCTTAACAATTATCAGTATACAACCTGTTATATTTGCAGAAATAGCTTTTGGTTGTTTATAATACTCAGCAATAAAAATTTCAAATAAGTCAAATTCCATAAGCTTCATTATTATTAAAGGAGTTGAGGTGTTGGTCAAAATGTTTTTAATAATTATAATAGTTTCTAGAAATAGACTTTAACTGAACACATCTTTCCTTTAAAAAATATGTAAAAATAAAAATTGCTTGTGTTAACTTAGTACTTTTGGAGATAAATTATTTTTTCTGATAAAAAAGTAGTTAAAAAACACTAAAATTTTGCTAAATTTTAGTTGTTTTATTAGGTACTACATATAAAAAAAATCGTGACAGGTTTCCATAATGTTATTTTCTTATTTATTACTTAATTTTATAAAGTCTTTATAAAGAGGTTATTTGGTGGTAACGCTTTTTTTTGGCGGCATGGGGATGGGGGATTTCTTGAGCTTCCCCCTCCTCCCCAATTAAAACCAGTGTTGCGTTAAGATAAGGAGTTGATTTAAAACAGTGTTTCACTGTAAAAGGCATTACTTTGAATACATGACCATACTGGTGGACGTAAGCGTATGCTACTTTAGTTATGGTAAGAAAAGTTAATTTAAGATTTTAAAATAAATGGCTTTAGTTGCAAATGCTATTTGAATATATTTATTGAAATTTTTTAAAAGTATTTTAAACATATTGTAACTTCATTTTTTTAACTTTTACTAAAGGTTAATAATTTTAATAGTGCTTTAAGGCACCTTTTAAAAAAAAAGAGATTATTACAGTAAATTCAATGATAAAAAAATGTATTTATTTAATTATTAAACATAATAATAAAAAATTGCATACATCTTTTACTATGGATTATTTAAACATTAGAGACAATAAAGTTGAAAATAATTAAACCTTAATAAAATTCTGAGTATTGTTATTTGATATTTGATGCTATCCTTGATTAAGTTTTGATGTTATTTGATGTTAAGATTTGATATTATCTGATTAAGTTATTGTAATCGTTATTTTTATTATTATTAAATTCTTAAACTTTTAATATTAAAAACAGTTAAATATTATTTGCTAACAAACAAATGTTAACATTACTCTAAAAGAATATCTTAAAATCGTTATATCTGTTAGAAAAAAAAAACTTTATAGATTTCATTGTCTTTAAATGAAGTTACATAACAAGTTTTTAAATTGAGTTTTGTAATAGCATTCATTTTTTAAATCTAATGTGCAGTTAGTAACCAAATGACAGTTTTGAATATTAAACGAGTTACATTATGCAATTATTTTACAATTCATTTTATTGTCTTGAAGAAAAATTGAGCAATGATGTGAAAAAATAAAGCAGCTAAAATAAACAGAAAATTGGTTATGTACTACTGCATTTGCGGGAGGCTGCATAAGCGTGAATTGGCATATGTGGGAACTGGCATAAGTGCAAAGCGTTGCAAAAACTGGCATAAGTATATAAGGCATAAGTAAATAAGGCCTTCTCGGCCTTGAGGAGGTGAATTAACAAAAAAAAAAAAAAAAAAAAAAAAAGGACAAACTGGCATAACTGCGAATTGGCATAAGTGCGCCGAATAAATTTGCAAATATTGGCATAAATGTGAATTGGCATAAGTGCAAACTGGCATAAGTGCGAATTGGCATAAGTGCCCCAAACAAATTTGCAAACATTAGCATAAGTGCGAATTGGCATAAGTGCAAACTGGCATAAGTGTGAAGCAGTTACAAAAACTGGCATAAGCGCAAATTGGCATAAGTGCTCGGAATAAAATTTCAAATATTTGTATAAGTGCAAATTAGTATTTCACACTTATGCCAATTCGCACTTATGCCAGTTCGCACTTATGCCAATGTTTGCAAATTTATTTGCACTAATGCCAGTTCGCACTTATGCCAATG